CGCGGGCTCCCACACAGGGGCCACCGCGCCAAGAGCCGCAGCAGATCCAGCCCCTGCTCACACAGGGAGGCCGGAGTTAAACACTTGAGAATGGAKGAGGAAAGACCAAGTGAGTTGGGCCTGTTGAGCCTGGAGAAGACTGAGAGGGGATACAATTAATATGTATTAGCTTATTCTCATAGTTAATTAGTCACCACAAGAGTGGTGGTTTTGCACTCTCTAGAATTACTCACTATGTACGTTGTTGAATGAAGAACTGACCTGGGTTAGACTAAAAGATATTCAGCTCAATGCCAGATAACTGGGTGAAGTTTAAAGACCTGCAATATAAAGATTATCCAGTATGTAACAGTCCCCTTTTGACATTGAGGCATGGGGAAAAAAATGTAGTTTGCTCTGTGCAAACTGTAAAGAAAATCTGCCCTTCTGTACAAAAGACAGAGCGGATGGGTCTTGATTAGAGGGTCCCTCACCGCTACACTGCACATCAGCTAAGGTCTGACCTCTTTGGAGGGAGCTGTGGTTTATGTTTATGAACTGCAAAGCTCTTTCTGCATTTAAGACATGACATATTTTTAATTACATAAAAAAAAAAATCCAAGCCCTTATTTATCTCAGTAATATCCTCACYACCAATTTTCACATTACTAAGATTCCAAAAGGGACAAAGACCAGACACATACGATACAAGTAACAGCTCAAAAATTGAGTTACCAGAGCATGTTTATTTACACAATACATCTCTCAGAAAATTCACCCCAATCATTCACAACATGAAGGAAAATCTAGGTGATATTTGTCTATATATTAYCTTTTTTCAACAACTAAAAGTAATTTTTTAGCAATAGATACATTTGTGCTTTARAAGTCTATACAACGTCCTTTTCTCTCCCAGTCTCCATAACGTGTAGGTTCWGGGCCTTTCGGTCCACCCCTCTCTTTTGTAGTCGGATTGATTCCATCAGGAAATCCTAAAACGAGAGAGAAAGCTTATTAAAATGCCTACAATGTCAACAAAATAAATATTTCATCATCTAAGATATTTGCTTCTCAGTTTTGTTTTTAACACAAAATCAATTGTTTTTCATTTGTAAAGGCAATTTGGAGTTAACCACTTCCCAGAAAAACAGCAGTAATTTCAGAGAGTTTTATGGCCGCAACCAGGAATCCATCACCACATTAAGCCACGCAAATCACAAAGCCACTCCATGCCCGAGGCACTAAAGCTCCACAGTTTCCAGGGAATTCCTAGGGAGAACCTGCGTCACCCGGGAACGCTGTACATATGGTCACCACACCTAAAAYAGCAGCTCATTTTGAGGGTGTCTGATGGCTCTGCTTTTGAAYAGGCAGGTATACAGGCTGGATGCTATGGTCAGAGGATGGATTATGAAGTCCTAACTAGCCAAAATTAGAGATTTTACCTTTTAACCTAAGCTTGAGATATAATTGTGATGCCCTTTAAGGAGAAAGAAATTATTCCTAAGTAAAATCCCAAAGGGATTTTCAAATGYCTTTGGGAAGCCACAGGCTAAGCTTAACCATGAGCCAGCGGCAGCTTCTCCTGCCCCCTGCACCGTACCCAGCTCGTGCCACCCGCTCACGCGCTGCAGCTTGGGTCCCCAGCTCCCCCACCACGTTCCTCCTGATCCTTAGGAGCACCCTGCTCAACACAGCGCCCTGGTTCCAGGGGGAAATCCGGCCTCCCAGGCGGAGCAGCGCTGCCCTTTCACCACCACCACCACCACCACCACCACCACCACCACGAGGCGGCCCAGCGCCTATGTGGGCGGCTGCTAGGGCTCAGGAAAGCAGGGGATTTTGTGCAGGGGCCTTTCCCAGCCCGCTCTGACACCCTGCCCCACACCCCCACTGGCCAGGCGGGTTCCCAGGGCCCCCAAGGAACGCGCGGCTCGGGGCTCCCTCCGCCACGTCGCCACCTCAACAGCAGCCAAACAAGTAACGAGCAGCAGAGGCGAGAGAGAGAAAGACAAGAACAGACACCCTGCAGAGCACAGAGAAAGGAGGACAGTAACGGAGGGAGACTCACATAGCTACAGGCAACACAGAAGGACATACTGGGATGTCTGTTTAACAATTCACGTGCACCAGGATAGGAAATGTCAGTATTTGGGCCCCTCTGGCAGTATACGGGGCACAAATGCATACAATATTATTTTGTATATYATTCCAATATTCACTACTATTGATGTGTTGACAGTTGTTGCAGAAGCTCAAAATATTTTTCCATGGTGGGAAATGGCCTGCTTAAACCTGCAACTTTTATTTTTCCCCTAATAACCACCAATGATACACCGCACAGTTAGCGCCCTAATAAATTTCTGTAGTGTCATATATATATATATATATATAAAACAAAGGCACAACTAAACTTTAAGACAAAAGAAACACTGAGTCTCATAAGAAACACACAGATTATCAAACAAAAAGTTAAAAAAAATGGTTTAGGTGAAGCAGCGATGGCACAGATTTTCTGGAGAGGAGGGATGTGGAGTTAAGCAGCTCTCTCTGCTCACACAGTAACCCCAAACGTGAGTCAGTTTTCAAGTGAGTCACAATTGGAAATGGGCTGCAGCCACTGTGCAGATGATACTGTAATTTCACAGTCATTTTGTCACCTGCACATTCATAGTGATTAATATCGATTATTAAAAAGTTTGTCCCAGAGACCTCAAAATAGATACACTGGTAAATGAACAGCAGCAGAACACTGCTGGGTAGGTATGTATGAAACAGATAAAACATGACTAGCACTTTTAGTTAAGGAAAGACCAAATAAAATGAATGTGGTGCCTATCTGGTGCCTCAGTCTTGTGAGGGTCTCTGAACGAATCCCCCTGAAGCCAATGGACTCCAGCCTAAAGGGGGGCAGATCACCAGGTCTCCCTGCACCCCAGGATCGGCTCTGTAAACTCAGCATCTGTGGTTGCTTTTCAAAAACCTACATGCAAGGTTAAGAAAGGGACCTACCATGGAAATATCGCAAAGATCTGAAATCTTTGTAGGACTAAGAAACAGAACCAGCTTTTTGCAGAATAAAAAAGGCCATTGGTGCCCTGCTGAGTTGACTACCACTGTTTTTAATTGTACTGTCACACACCAACCTGAGGTACACCAGCTACATAGCTATGAAACATGGAACGGTCTAGGTTGGAAGGCAGCTTGGAGGACATCCAGCCCCATCCCTGCTTCACAGCAGGCTCAGGGGTAGGTCAAGATATCTGGGCAAATGTGAACATCTCCAAGAACAGACATAGCAAAAGCTTTCTGGGCAATTCATTACAACGTTAGACCACCCTTGGTCTGCAGATTGTTTTCCTTATACATCCCTTTGCACAGCTTGTGACCACTGCCTCAGCTTTCTGTTTTTTATTTTCAGAACTTCTGAGCTTGGAAAGTGATTTTGCAAAGTGCTGAACAACTACYCTTGTTCTTAAACTTTCCTCAGGGTAGCAGGATCTTTCTTTCAAAAAAGAAACATGACATACCGAAACATAAGTCATGTTTCGGTAAAACATGACTTACTTTCCAACGGCTCCCTCTCCGTGTTGGGCTCCTCGGGCTCATCGAACCGACCTACTGGTAACTTCGGTTTCTTCAGCGGCCGCTTAGCAGGCTGGGACCTTCCTTCTGCGCTGGAGCCGGCGCTGCGCAAAGAGCCGCAGAGCAGTGACGACCCTATCGAACAAATGCGTATTTATGCCATAAATGGGGCAGTTTAATGCTGAATAGAATACCATTATTTAGAAAACCTGTGAACGACAGAATCATAGAATCCTTACGGTTGGAAGGGACCTCCAGAGTCCAACGTCCCCCTGCACACACAGGGACACCCAGAGCACGGGGCACAGGGCGGCATCCAGGCGGGTTTTGGAGACCTCCAGAGAGGGAGACTCCACCTCCGGGCAACCCATTCCAGTGCTCTGTCACCCTCACTGTCAAGGAATTTTTCCTTAAGTTCCTGCGGAACTTTTGGTGCTTCAGTTTGTGACCATTTCCTCTAGTTCTGTCAGTGGCCACCACTGAATAGAGGCCACCCCATTCTCCTCACTGCCTCCCTTGAGGTATTTGCAGTCACTGATCAGATCCCCCCTCGGCCTTCTCTTCCTCAGGCTGAACAGGCCCAGCTCTCTCAGCAAAAACAAAAGCACTCACTGCATGAACTAGTAAGTGGAGGACAGAGAAACAATTGCCAAATACTAGATTAAAATTCCTCTCATGGACCCCTAAGAAATCAGCACAGATTCTCATTTTTGGTCACAGAAACATAAGCAACTGCAATAGATGTATAACTTAGGTCTCAAAATCAGGCTTGAACTATCTTCACTTTATCTTCCTGCATTTTAGATGCTAAAAAGTAATTATGCTGGCACAGAACAGACCAGCACATTCTGCTTTCCTGGAGAAGTCCTAACCTCCCCCAAGAAGCCTCCTGATTTCCAAGTGTTGGCTCATTTCCAGCAGCTTTTGAGTCAGAAAATGCCTCTGCTTTCCCAAAGGAAACTATTAAAAAATAGAGAACGCTGTTCCCTTAGTAACAGGTTTTCCAGAATGTTGGTTGAGACTAGTTGGGCTTTCCTTACTATGGTAAAATAATGCAGCTGGTAGTCAAACGCATAGATAAACTCAAACTCTGGGTAAATTTAAGTCAAATTACATAACTGCACACAAGTGCTTTAACTAAAAGACATAATTTTTCCTTTCCCTCTTCAACTGATACTTCTGCATTTGGTTACAAAACCAAATGTCCACAGCAGCCATGAACTATCTTCTAAAAATATTTCAGTTGTGCATATGTGCTTAAAGCAGCTCTTACTTTTCTTAGGAAGGTAGATGCAAATTTTCCTGGYAGCATCTGGCTGCAAATCGCTGAAAAAGAACCACCATTTTACTTTGCTAAAGAGACAACCTTGGGAAACCCTCCCAAGCACCATGGGCTTGACTCACCTACGCCAGCCACCGATGCACCTGCATTCCCAGGATCTGCAGGGATCAGTTCCATTTCATGCATTAAGGGAAGAGACAAGCGAGGTAAAGGAACCTCAAGTAGGAGTTCCTGGAGCAGAGTCTTTGTAAGCGGCTCCCAGGTTGGTAGTGGGCCTGCAAGGGCCCACAAACACCCTTCATCTTCCCAGCTCTTCTTACCACACACACTGCATCAAACGATTTGAGGGATACTACATCTAGGTTTCCTAGGATATCTAGGATCATAGGAAGACTCAACTTTTGATGGAGAAGGAGCTGGCTTGACCTGTAGCCCTACAGAATAGATTAAATTAGGTGAGTGTTGAACAGCCAGGTTTTTAGGTTATATTTTTACTTTTTTTTTTTTTTTTTTTTAATTAACAGGTTACTTTTTCCCCCCTCAAATCCAACTGTTCTGCAACTCTCCCATTCCCTGTGTCCTCCAACCAAGGCTCCTCCCGGAGGAAGCCGCCTGCACTCGCTCCTATAAAGGACACAGACCCGTAACTCCCAGGCCCGCAGGGGGTTCTCTCCAGCCTCCCTGCAGAACAACACCCAGCTGCTGCCTCCCGCTCCACTCCTGTTTGCAGGTCCATAACAAACCCGGAAAACCTTTAGCCTCCACACTCAGGGATGACAACAACCGCAGGCTGCAGCGTGTGGCACACACGAACGTACAGGCTGCTGGCTAGCAGCGCAGGCGAATATAAGATATAGTAATGGAGTAACATACTATAGCATGCAGTCATGTGCAGAGGCAAGAAGAGCAGCAGGGCAAGGAGCGAAAGCGATGAAGGGGAAGGGGGTGACGGCGCAGCCCCCCCCCCCGCCGCCATGCCGGGCACCCCCCGCCGCCTGCAGCGGGAGGAGGGCAGGGGAAGCGCCGAGGCCACCGGCTCCCTCCTTCCCTCCCTCCTTCCCTCCGCCCGCCGCTTACGCGCTGCCCCCGCCGCCCCGCGCAGCAGCCGCGCGGCCATGGCGGCGACCCCGCCTCCGCTCCGCCCCGCCCGCCCCGCGCGCGACTCGACTCCGCGCACGCGCAACGGCTGCGGCGCCTTGGCGGGGGGCGGCCGTTGGCGGGGGGCGGCCGTTGGCCGGGGCGCGGCCGTTGGCCCCGCCCCGCGGGCCGGTGCGGAGGCGGGACCCGCCAGTGCGGGTGCCTGCGCGACGCGTTAGGGGAGGCGCGAGCGTCGCCATTGTGCTCCTCGCAGCCTCCAGAGGCGGCCTGGAGCAGGGCGCACACTGCCYGCAGAAACCTTGGTGGGCCACGGTCAGGGAGCGAGGGTCGTGCTGCGTGTTGTGCCAGCCACGTTCCTGGGCTTTCACCAAGGCAAATAGTAGATTCTGCWTAAACCTCAACCTGGGCCAGGAAACAGTTGGGTGCATTTGGTGCAGCTCAGGAAGCCCTGGGAGCTGTTTTGAACCTGGAGACATTTGGTTGTAGCTCCAGGTGACCTTGTTCTTCAGTAAAAACAACCTGGATGCCCCTGCCCACAGATACTAATTAAACAACAGAAAATAATTTTCATACAGGCACTCCTAGAGACTGGAGTACAAAAGAGTGTTTTATGTTCAAGTCTGAAGAGTTTAAGAAAGCAAATCTAGGTGGTAAATTAGTAACGGTGATGCTCCACTGAGYTTATGGACTGCATCTGGCAGGGCCTACGCTCAAAGCAATTATATTTAATTGGCTGCCTTATGTGCGACATTTTCTGTAACAGCTTTTTATAACATGGTTAATTGGGGATTAGGGATGGAAAAGAATGGAAAATCCTCCATTCTAAGAGCGAAATGCTGGGCTTCCAGACTGGAGCCAGTGAACAGGATTACTGATGGCTCAAGCAGAAAAAACTGCTTTTCTGCCCAAAAAAAAAAAAAAAAAAAAAAAAAAAAAAAAAAAAAAAAGGCAAGCTGAAGAGCTTACCAACTATGCGGTCAATACAGTAAAAACCAAAGTGAATTGACTAACCTTAAAAATATTCATACCAAATTGCCTGCAGATACCAGTTACTAATAAGTTTTTTACCTTCACAGTTTAAGGCAAATCCGTAAGAAACATGCTCACATGCATCATTCTCAAAYGGCAAGAATGAAATAACTAGGCAAGATGAATTAGAAACTATTCATCCACCTAAAAATAAGCTGAGGTGTGCAAAACATTTTTCCTCTAGTCTTCCTTCCTTTTATTCACGTAAAAATACCAAACTACTTTTTAAAATKCTGAATAACGCATTGTTAAGATCGCGTGGTTGAGGAGGTGGTGAATCTGAGCAGAGTAAAAATGAACATGCATAGGCTACAGAATTTGCCCTTCTGCAGTTGAGCCCAATATTTATTTTCCTTCTCACGCTTTATAATGATCACTTATTTCCTCAGTGGGAATTCCTTTCCTTATTTCCTCGCGAGGAGGAGTCAAACTACATTATGCTCTACTTTATTTTGCTGCTCTAAGAGGCAGGGAGTAGAAGAGCTGGGGCAGAGACCTCTCCTGCAGCGGGTCAAGGGGCCATCCGCAAAGCCCCCCTGCAACCACTGGCACAGAGGCAGTGAACAAAGGGGCTCTCGTCCTGCCCCAATCCTTCTTCCTGCCCAGATCCTTCTTTCCTCACTCTGGCTTTCCGCAGATGACATCCCTCCGGGCTGTGCACGTTAAGATCCTTGGTACAAAAGGGATTTTGTGGCTGTAAGGTCTCCCTCAAGAGGGAATTTCCTGGCCCTGCTGGCAATTCCCCTGCCCAAGAGGGAATTTCCTGGTGCCTTCCGCAACAGAATGTGAACCCCTTTCCCCAAAGAGCAGCCATTTCCAGACCTGTGAGATTAGAAAGTTTAATTTTGATAGAAGATTCAAACACAAACCAAGGAAATAATTTAGATACACTATGTACACACACATGTTTAAGTACAGTAATTCCATTTACGCAATGTCCTCCTAGTAATATCCTTGGGAGCTGTGTGAAGTGACAGCAGCAGCGTCAATGCCTTCAGGGAACCAGAGGCTGGCAGCTTTCTGGAAGAAGACTTGGAGCTTCATTTCTGTCCCCCTTCTATAAGCAGCGCCTGAAGCAACGTATTTCTCTTTCAAGTGGCTGTGGGGTGTTTTACTCAGCACTATCATAAAAGGAGAGGCCACTGTTGCTACAGGAAAATGAAGGCTGGGTTTAAGGAGAAGAGGGGAGGGAGATGGAGAGTTTTTTGACTCCTGATGCAGGTAGCAGCCACTTAACCCAGGGCTTAACAGCTGTCAAATAGCACCACAAAGCTACGGCCCTGGCCGGGCCACCRGACCACACTGGGCAATACAAAGTGGGGGAAGAGAAGGAAGCAGAAGTTCTGTTAAACTGGGCCTGTCCTTTGAAAACTTGCTTCTAAATATCATATGCTGTCTTAGAGCCTCACGGAGCAAACTATGTTCGAGGCTGCTTAAATGCACGGGATCTGTGATTGAAAAAAAAGTTGGCTATACCTAATTTCTGCTGTGCTAACCACAAAAGCATCATTGATGGTTGTAGATTTCCAGAGACACAGCAATATAGACATTTTCCTATAGTGACAGAAATGTCTAAAACTGAAAATGGATGTATTATAAGCAGGTTAGCTTGCTCATTGTGACCCAAACAAAATCAGTATTTTGTTGATTTAGCTCCCTACGCTGATATTACAAACCTAGCTACTAGAATACTGTTCACCAAAGGACAGCTGAGATGTCAGAACATAATTTAAGTATTTACAACATAGTAATATGGTCATAAAATAAAAATTATTAATAAAAATAGACTTTTCAGAGTGGGAATGTATTTAAGATATTTTTTTCTGCCATTATAAGGACTTGCCTAACGCAACTCAGTAATACAATAGTCTTTTGAGAGTGTACACTGCCAAACCATAGGTGCTCRTCTGAAACATGAAAGCTACAGCAAAAGAAATATATTACAAACCATATTAACAAACCATATCAAATGCAAGATTTCTTCATTATAAACTCTTATTGCTATATTCATTTCAAATAATACAAAATATATAAAGCCTCCCCAGAGTTTTGGTAATTAGCAGATTGCAGTTTCTTTAATTGCTTCCGTTAGAGTCATGTGTTCATTTTATTAACACCAGATGCAATAATACAATGCTAAAAATGAGCATGCATCATACAACAAATTTGCGTTTTCCCCCCAAAGTTCATTACAGTTAGTGAATGCACATGTCACCCTTTCCCCTACCTTTAGGGAGTGATTGTTTGAAATATATAAAAGGGAAGGAAGGAGAAGCCAAACTTAATGCTATTCAGCACCAGTAAAAAGTCAACAGACCTTGAACATTCCCGTGTATCAAAACATGTTATCTGTATCACTAAACAGGTCAAGTTCATTATATTGTCCCATTTGAAGATGTATGGATTTATATTTACAATACTTTGTAGTCAATAAAACATTTTAACAATATTTAAAAACTGCTTAAATTCATAAAAGTATTGCAGAAATTTATAACATTTACTTATTTTACGTACATACAAGGAAGTCCGTGTAAAACTGTCCATGTCCACATGAAGAACTGACAAAGTAAGGAGCAATTTTACTAAGTCTTGCAAAACCCCAATTGAAGGCATCAACATTCAAAAATCTTTAGTTGCCATTTGCTTCTCAAGACTAAAGTTCCAGTAATAAAAGTGAGTATGTAAACTAATATGTTCTCGAGATCAGTAGAAAATAGATTCCCACAGGCATAGCATGTTTAATAAGGAGGAGGATGATTTTGTAGGAAACTGTTAAGATGTAGTGATATCTAAACAGACAACTCAGTAAYGGCCTCCTTTGTGAGACCCACAAGCAGAGCTTTTCTCAAACATCTCGTATTTTAGCAGCTCATTGTGTTTCCAGTTAAACCTTCTGCGGTGCTAAAACAGAGCTGAGTGTGTAATACCTTATTACAATTTTAACTTCCCCTTTATTTTGGCATCTAAAGCCTCTAGCAAAATGTAGCCATGGAACATTGACTTTGTAAGTCTAAGAGCCARTAATACCCCAACCAAAAGTACACACTATGCTTTAGTCTCCAAATAATTAGGTACCCAAATTAAGAAAAAGTAATAGAAAAGTAAAAAGAACAAAATAAAAAAAAGATATTGCACAGCCACATTGCCTAGAAAGTAAAAGTTGATGTTAAAAAAGCCCTAAGTGTGGATGATATAAATTATCTCCCATATAAAAAGTATAAATATCTCTTAAAATACAGCTGCAGCTATACTTTAATACCACACATTATTTGATTCATCTGTTAATGAGGTAACAACCGAGTCTCTTACAACACTTCACTGGAAATATTTTAGGGCAGCAACAAGAAAGAACTTTTCTAAAAATATTTCTGAATCAAGGACAGCAATGTGTGCAGCTCTTCCTATGAGCGAATCGGCTGTATTGGGCAATGCATTAATTACATTATAGCGAACCAAATTGCATTCCTTATTTTGGAGAACTGGCAGAAGCAGGTTCTGGATCATCTCGGCATAAATTGGTCCTGTGGAGGGAAGCAGAAGTAAGTTGTACTGTGTGAATCATCGGAAGCAATTACGGTTCTATGACCTTTAATGGAAAATCTGTGCGTTCCAGAAGAAGAGAGGCAATGTATGTCGTGCTGTTTCTCTGCTAAGGTAGAATATAGAACGTTTCATTTCCTCAGAAGTCTTTGGAAAAACARTTTTATAACTCACACATTTTCTTGCTCAAACATTTATTACACTAACTTATTATAATGTTCTTTAAAGGTATTTACTTGCCAGTAATATTAGAACATGGCTGTGCCAGCCTATCTTGCAATAAATACAAGAATCACCCATCTCTGAAAATAAGAAAGGCAATTTTCTTTTCAGTGCTGCTATGAAGCCTCTTGTAAAGAGAACAGGACGAGTTCAGAGGGCAGGCCAGGCCCCACAGGGCTCCTCTCCTTTCTGCAGAGGGAGCCCAGCGTGGCTAAAGACACGATGGACGGAGTTACCTCAGTGAAACACCCAAAAGTAAATGGGATTAATCAGACCTTTGAGGTTAAACCTCAGGGGACTTTTGGGGGTCTTTATTACCTGATTGCTTATCCTTTAAAGCGGTTTTACACATCTCAATGCGAGCAGAGTGATAAGGAACATAACGATCCTGCAGAGATCCTACTAACACTATGTTTTTGAAGTAATGAAGACCTGCCGGAAAAGAGGGAAGAGAAATACGTTCTGTAATGAATCACTTGGCATTTGCTACAGAGTAGTTACATATTTTACAGCTAAAATCGGGAACCAACTTATTACTAGTCCTTGTAAAATAAAAAAAGGCAGAAAAATCTATTACAATAGATCTTCTGGCCAGCCCCAGAGACGGCTCCACCCAACATAACTCACCAGGTTCCCCCCTTTTATTAAAGCCAGTTTCCTACTTCGTGGGCAAGCACTTTAACAGCAAGGGGAAGCAAAGGTGATCCCCTCAGCAATCCCCTAAGTATATGCATGCATGCATCTATCTATCTATCTATCTCTCTATCTCTCTATCTCTCTATCTCTCTATCTCTCTATCTCTCTATCTATCTATCTATCATCTGGGCTGCTGCAATGCTTTTGGTTCTGAACAGCTGGCATGTCATCTTATCTGGCAACCTGTTGTAATTTCTCGTCACAGTATGAAAGAAACAGTCACTTCCCAGACCCCAGGAAACACCAGCCAGATTGTGGCTGCTGAAGATCTGACAAGCAGATTTTAAGATTATTCCCAAAGGTAAAATACATCTAGAATTTATCATCATGAAGAAGCAACACCAGAAAATTAAACTTAGCACTGTGCTTAAAAACATTTAAGTCTCTCAACTGGCAACATAAGGTAACATGTGCAAGGGAAACAAAATTCTGAAATTCGCATAAATTTTAACTCTCTGCATTTTGAGCTGTCTTACTGTCTTTTGTTACTTATAAGCAGACAAAGACACATCTTGTTCTTTATCAGCAATTACCAATCATGATAATTTTAAAGCTACAGAGTAGCTTTAACTTAAAAGAATTTTGAATGGCCAAGTTCAGAAAGGAAACACAGAGGGCCTTCTGGATAACAATCAAATGTTTAAGTCTCAATTCTCCCCACTACCTGCTTTTATTCATTGCAATGAAGATTTCTTTTTACAGGGCAACTTAATACAAAGCTTAAAAAAACGTTTTGTTTCCTGATTCTAAAGCTCAAGATAAGATATAAATGGCCTTTTTAAGGTCACTTTAGCAGGTTAACTTTTTAAGGTTGCTTTCCCTGATTAAGCAAAAAAAATCCCTTGATAGCTAAGCAATGAATAAACTGCATTTAAAAAAAAATCATTCTACAACAGCATAGTAGTAACTGCATAAACCAAAACTAGTTTGCAGATAAATCACAGAGCGATCTTTTCTTTCCAAGAATCAGAAAGCTTTTTTTCCCCTTCCCTCTCCCTTAAATAAAATTATCAGCCTTTCACGTCTCTCCTTCTCCCCAACCTTTCCTTCTSGCTTGCACAAAGCTCGCTGAAGAAGCTGGAAACCAGCGGCTCTATGGGGCAGTGACCCAAGATACAGCACCTGGTGTCTTCTTTAGGAAAAAGGCAGGAAAAGGAAGCTGAATCTTCAGAAGCCAAATTTTGGGTAGTCATTTACAGTCTGTCTACAGTTTATGGAAATAAGATCTGAAACTCAGGTCACAAGCTCCTATTTAACTCTGATCTAATTTTAAACATTATATGAAGTTCAACTTCTCCTTCCCTTTCAACAACAAAAGCACCTTTATTTTCCCTGACCAGCTTAATGAGGAAAGTAGTAGTTTTTGCTAGCTAGTAAAAACTTCACAGCAAAATTTTCAATTTAGATAACAGTAAGAAAAGCAAAAACAAACAGATAAACCTAAATAAATGTGGATGTACTTGATTAATCACAGGGAAATCACAAACTTCAGTGGATGGGGAGCAGCCTGACACAGTGTGGTGGCAGCTGTTGCTCTTCATTACTTAAGGAGAGAAGCCTCAAACTATCTACCCAATTTTGGAAAAAAAAAGCAGTCTTTTGTCTATAAAAAGCCAAAGCAGCCTTTAAATACAACAAGAGTTGGTTGGACAAGTATTTGTAGGTCTCCTATTTGCATTAAGGTACAGTGGTCCTTAAAGACGCCACTCCTAGCGGTGCTTACCTGCTTTTTTACTGAGTTTRTATAAGAAAGTCTGTCGTGGATCCGAGTGGTCTCGACACGTCAGCTGCAGTAAGGAACCAGACTTCTTCCACTTCTGCATAAACCACAGACCTGCATTGTTAGGTACAATGTGAGTCCACAATACAATATGAAAAGTAATCAAACGTGAATAAAATATGCAGAGCTAAAGCCCATACACTTAGCTCCTCCTCCTTTTATTTTCCATGTTATCATTATCAAGCCCAGGAGCATTTTTGATTTTTATTCATTAATCTTTGCTGTCTGTATATGCAATAAAGCATAAAGAAAATTATTTCCACTTATGTGCATGCCCTTGTAGGAAAAATAAGCACTTAAAATATATACATACACACACAAAAACACACGTACATATATAAACGTTGGCCCTAAGCTAATTCACTGATTTTATTTCTGTGTTTTACAGAGTATTTGAACATTCTGCTGTTGAAATATGTAGAACTAAAACCAAGTGTTACTTCCCAAAATTCTAAGAATAACTTTATAGAATTACTGAGTTCACTAAATATAACTAGAAGAACAAAGGAAGTAGATTTTTCTGTGAGGAAAATTATCTCTTGCTATAGCTCTTCCGCCCCCCTTTATTAGTCAGTGCTTTGGGCCAGCTAGCTGACTTCAGAAGCATCTCTTGCCAAGCAGAAGGAAAGGAGGCAGCCAAGCCCTCACACCCTCAGGAATGCCTTCAGGCACTTAGGCCGCGCTGGGAAAGGGTTACCTTCTGCGCAGCAATTCACTGAAGGACACTAGTGTCCACACACGAGTGTGGTAATTCAGCCTACAACAGCAATATTTATCATCTTAGTATTATTAACAGGCTTGAAAGTCTAAAACACAGAGAAGGTTATTGTATGAAAAGGCCATTTTGAACAGTTTGCAACTATGGAAGATCAAAAACTTCAGAAATCCATTTTTTCAAAGAGCTTATTCTGGATTCTACTTCCAAACCTCTGATCCCTGATAACTAGAGGGCCTTTCCCAGTGCCTGCAGGATGGATCCAACAGCCACATCTCCCCGCAGGCTGCAATACTGAAGGCTGTAGAAGCCAGTAACGTTAATTCCTTGGGGAGCTTCCACCAAAATGGGGGATTCYGGGACACATTAAAACACTTGAATGCAAGCGCCCACAGGACTACTAAGTAGTATAGTAGTATAGAAACCCCTATCCTGGACCTTGAGAATGTGCAAAGGAAAATGGACACTCACAAGGTACAGGCAAGGCTCAAACGGCACATGGGAACATTCAGAGAAATCCAGAATTTTTCTTAATATAAGAAAAGGCTAAAGATATCTTTTTTGAGAGAGAGAGAGAGAGAGAGAGAGAGAGCAGAAATGCACCAGTAATAGTCCAGAATCCGTTTAGGGCATTTTATTTGCAATTTAAGTAAATTGCATTTACTTAAAATTGCAAGTGTAAAATTTGCAAATTTTATTTGCAAATTAAGTAAACTATAACTCATGATAAATTGAACTCAAACTATAACTCATGATAAATTGAACTCAAATACATTTCAGCTGGAATTTCTTAAAGCTCTAACAGAAAATCTGGTCCAAGCAAAGGGCAAACTCACCTGTCAGCCACCTCCTGCACGGAGACTTAACGTGTGCAGCCCTTCCCTCTCCCTGTGATAACCACATCAAATGGGCACATCCCAGCCTGGCAGGAACCTGCCCCCTACRTGTAACCTCTGGGTACATTCCAAGGAGAAAGTCTGCCCCAAGCTCAGAGCACGGAAGCATCACACATTACCTGTATTCACAAGGGCACTGCTGTTGTAGAGAGTACCGAGATGGGGCCCAGACAGAGACAGGAAGGTGTGCAGTTTGTTGAGGTAATATTTAAACCGAGGCCTTGTGAGCACTGAACGGATTATTAAATTACCCAGTGAATGTCCAATAAAGCTGTTTAAAAAGAGAACAGGGTAACAGGGAATTTGATGGCAGCCTTTTCTTTTTCTTTTCCTTGCTTTTTAGTTGTGAAAAATAAAAACCAATGTCATAAAGTGCTGAAGGAACACAGGAAAAGACATGAACACAATGTTTCCCTGCAAAGYCTGTATGTTACAACAAACAAAACCAGAGCTGGTCTGTAGCTCCCACCTGCACCCTTCCCTTAGAAATGTCCTCAGCCCCTCAGAATTATTTTACACATAATTTTCCAGCAATCCCTCCCACCCAAGATCAAAATTATTTCTGAGGATTTCTCTTAGAGCCAAGTATGGAGAGAACATTTTGTGATGTGCATGACCAAACAAACTCCTGCTTGGACGTGTGCTGGCATTCAGTTTGATAAAAGCAGCACAGGTACCAAACAACCTGCTGGASGAGGATCCTGTGAGAAGGAAGAATTTAACTGACTCTGGATATTTCCACAAAAGCAACATCTCAAATCTGCTCAGCAACCTGACCAAGAGAGGTGATTAACAGCTGGTGCTGGGCAGCTGCAAAATAACTGCAAAAATCTGCAGGGAAAAAGAAATCTGCATTTAGTTGTTTCTCTCATTAATTAGGCTAGAGTGAAGATTGATGGGACTCTGTTTAGCTTCAAGTATCTATAAAAATAACAACAACTTGATCTGTGTTCCTTGCTGTCTTAATACACAAATCTGTATATAGCACTTGTTTAGCAGGGACACGGCAAAATAAATCCAATAGGTTATTAATATATAATAAAGCAAGGGGGAAGGAAGCTTGTTTGGAGTGTCCTTCTTTGGAGATCTTCCAAACCTGCTTGGATGCTGCCCTGTGCTCTGGGTGTCCCTGCTGGAGCAGGGGTTGGACTGGATGAGCTCTAGAGGTCCCTTCCAACCTCAACCATTCTGTSACTGTATATGATCACGTTAATGTTATATATGTAATATGACATTATATATTAATATCTTGTATAGTATAACTATTAATGCAGTTGTTATGCTAACAAATCCCCGGAGAGGTAAAGACCAGACTCTCTTAGACACAGAGTTAGCTGTATAAGGTGCAGGAGGCAGACAGAGTGTCTTTCTCCTTCACACGTGCAGTGCCAGGACACGGGCTGCCCACGTGGGCAGCCCAACCTGCACAGGAGATCCAAGGCAGAGCTACTAGAGCCCCATGGTGCGAGTGCCACAGGCTTGTACCCATCAGATCACCCTTCCAATCTGCCGTGTGTCACCACATTCTTAAAGAAAAATGGCTAAAATAAAGCTAGCAATGCCCATGGAGAATATAGTAACCGGACAGCAGGTAGCCTGCAACATGGAGAATGTAAGAACAAATTATTTGATTGGTATAATTTCTTCCCAAGAAAGAATTATTAACTCTGAAAATTCCGATTTAAAGCTAAATGGGGAAAAAAATAAACTGTMTTTGGGTACAGAATTGCAGAGTCACCCTAAAATCTCTACCTCTGCCATAACTGTGTGTTATTGTGATAGAATAAGGTATTTGTTTCATACCAATATATACGTAGTCTTTCCTGGCACTTTTATTACTAGATTACCAAAACTGCTGCAATATTAGTAATTCTCCACTGCAGTTTGATGGCTTTGTCTAACAAATTAGGAATGAAARACACATCTTGTGTGCGTTGTTATACAGATGCATGAAGAGCATAACAGTGGTGTACTTGGAAAACAAAATACTGAGCTGCTGACACTGCTGCACATGAACATTTTAAAATATTGTGCTAGAATAAATGATAAAGTACGAGCAAGAAAGCCAAACTCATAGGTATTTTTAGAAGCAAGAAAATGTACTGAAAATTGAGTCAGTTTGTCCTGAAGATAATGCCTATCACATAATTATAGCTCCTGAAAAAGACGAATTATTTTCTAAGAAAGATTTGAACCTCAACAGAGATATTCTGTGATATCTTTTCACCCACTATTTACTCAGTGTTATAAATGAATGAGTAACTGTCATATTGCCTCAGAATCAAGAACATTTAGGGACAAAACAGTGATGAGGCCTCAGTCAAACCCATCAGGAATACGGGCACACCAGAACCAAAACTTCAGAAATGTGAAAGACCAACTTGAGATAAAAAGCTGCTTGCAATGAGCTATGTGAATGTGCCTCAAACATTGAACATTTTTACTTTTAATTTGTACAGAATTAGAAAACAGATTACTGTAGTATCTGGTATTCAGTTCAAACACATAAGCTTTCTATTTGATTTTCTAACAGAAAGGTTTAAGGATTTCACCACCTCCAGTGTGAGGCAGAGGATTTTTGGAAGTGTAAGGCAGAAACAATTAAATCTTCCTTTCAGTTATCTGCAGCTGCAGGATGCAGTGATGCAGCTCTGCAAAACCAGGGCGTTTCTGAAAGCAGGTGGCAAYGTCACAATCTTTTAAGCATAAAATTTCACTAATTCAACAAACTAAAAAAAAAATGTACTGCAGTATTTATATGTGCTTCATGGCACAAGCTGACCAATTCAGATCACACTGTAAAGCTGGACACAGCAAAACCTCATTGGTCTTTGCKAGCAAAAAGATCTGATCCAACTATAAGAATTCACAAAAGAAAAAAAAAATCAGCAAGATACTGAAATAATCCGAGGCTCAGCAAGTCTCTTACACACAACATATCCTAYTTCGTGCCCTTTTCTTGTGTTCTTTGCCTAAATATCTGCTGACTAGGCTAGACAGAGCTTCGGGCTGACCAGGAAGCAGATGTTTTCTGCATACACCAAGAATCTCTCTTTTTGTAAGGCAGTAAAAGGATGAAAAAGCTGAATAATCCAACTGAGATGAAAATCCAGAACAGAGAGGCTCCAAGCTGGAACAGACACGACTGAACCATTTGCTCCAACTTCCAAGCTGGATCTCACTCCAAAGTTTTATCTAACTCTGAAGATGCCGCTAGGACGAGCTGGACATGTGAGGTGCAAGTGACCCACAGCCTCCCTCCTACCCAAACTATYCTGCGACGCTTTCACCAGCGGTTCTTTTATGCAAGAAATCAGTGTGGGTTTAAACAAAGCTTCCAGTTCTTGCTTCCCACCTCCAGGGCGCTGAGAGATTATTTTTCCAGGCGTGGCAGGGGAGCTCCTGCATTAGGGTACCGGGCACCAGTGCCCTGGTGCTGCCAGACGCGCTGCCTCCCGAGCACAACGGGAGGCCCACACGTCTTTCCTCCCCGGGGCCTCACAGAGCCACAGGATGGTTGAGATTGGAAGGGACCTCTAGAGACCATCCAGTCCAGCCCCCTGCTCCAGCAGGGACACCCAGAGCACGGGGCGGCATCCAGGCGGGTTTTGAAGACCTTCAGAGGAGGAGACTCCACAACCTGCCTGGGCAGCCTGTGCCAGGGCTCTGGCACCCTCACAGGGAAGAAGTTCTTTCTCGTTCCTCTTCCATTCTTCCYCATTCCTGATGGATAATATGAGGGTATCTAAACAAATGGGTAAAGTCAGACTTAACTCTGGTGCTTTCATCTACCCAGGAGCGACTCCGTTAGCGCCGCTGAGTGAGGATGGCAGGCTGCCCAAGGAGTGGACCCTACACTACTTTCAGAAGAATACATGGGGCAGATATTCCCTTAAAGTAGCTGAAAAAGAGAACAAGAACATACACATTGGGATAAGCCCTCTRTTAAGAGGTGAAATATGCTTTCTAAAGGATGAAAAAATCACAAAACACAAAAAAATACCCCACAAAATGAAACTTTTTCCTCCCACGGTTGCCCTGCAAAGTGATAAATCTGATGGAATTTCCCTGCAGATATTAGTCTGCCATGTCACATTCTGTAAAGAAGTCAGAAGAAAGCTACTTAATTTAGAAAAAGACACTATTTTTTCTTTATTTCCTTCTGCTTTCTCAAAATACTAGTGTTTTACTGGTGAACGCTACCAAGCAGGATCTCCGAGGAGGCACAGGACACCAGTTCCCAAGCACATGTCCAAGTCCCTCTGTCCCCAAAGCCCCAGCAGGACAAGCTGTGGCTATGTCACTGCTGAGCATCATGATTCAGAGCAACACAGGCCTCTAGTTTTAGTTGTATTTCTCTAAATAGTACGGAAGAGACATTACCTGATTTTTGAAAGGGTTAGATTATAAATTTGAATATACTGTATAATTTCATCTAAAAGGCGATCTGTCATGGAATCAAAATCAGCAAAGGTATCATTCTGTAAAACAAAAGAAATAAAAAAATAATAACCGTTTTCTAATGCAGCAATACACATTCTGCATTCAGTCTGAATTTTTATTCCCCAGTCTTTTGATTAACAACACACATGTAAAAGCATTCATATTAACTTCAAACAGAAACACTGCAGCTGGTTGTTCCCATTTTTTCAWTTTTTTCTTGTAATATAAAGCGACAGACACATTTTATTGCGAGACTACTTTGTTCTAATATATCAAAGCAAATCTCAACATAGCAAACTGCCTTCCTTACCTCCAAGCCTTCCCATATACACAATCTCATCTGTAGAAAAAGAGAAGACCAAACTGCACGTGCAAAACTACATCATACCACCATGAAGTAGAAGTAGGAGACAATTGCTATACCAGTAGCAAGGGAGTCCATATTAGCACTGTTTAATTCAGAACTCCTTCTTCAAAACATAACTGTCAACTGGTAGCTGCTTCTCCGCAATGATTAACAGGAAAAGATTAAAAGGGAGTAGGCAAAGGAGGAAGGAAACTTTTCAYCCCATTCCCAAGGAGCTGTGCTAAAACGTGCAGGGCTCAATACAGTCAGAAATGATCTGGAAAAGGGAAGCAGGAGATGGCAGAGTTGGCCAAATCACTGGCACCAAATCACTGAGGACAGTCGAGTCTAGACCAGAATTTCAGAAGCCTCTGGAACTGCAGCACTGCACCGGTGGGTGACCGAACGGCAAAGCTTAGAAACACARCACGGTGTTACGTGGGAGAAACAGCCCTCAACACATGCCCATAATAATCTATCTATATATAATACAGATTTGTGTGGTTTATGCTGCACTAGGTTAGGAAATCAAGGGAAGAATAGAGAAGAGCAATATAGCAATTAATAAGCCCATTATGTAGAAGCATCTTAAAGCATCTCAAACTTCCCATCTTAAAAGGAAGGAAGTTTGGAAATGGGCAGAAAAGGATATCATGGATGGACAAAAAACTGTTCCACATGAGAGGAGACTGAAGGGACTAGATCTCCAATTCTCTCTCTTGTAGGCAGTAAAAAATTATACTTGTTTACAGAATGGTCAATGGAATTGAAATGGAAAACGGGGAAAGATTATTGACTATCTCCCTCCACCTCAATAATCTATAGGGACATCAGTTGAAATTTCCTTGTTTGCAACAGGGATCATTAATGCACCTATAACTGGGAGATACACCTCAACTGTAAAAACCAGAAGGAAAAAAAAAAACCATAAAAAAAAGAGGATATCAGCCAGCATCAAGGAGAAAAATCCAGGAGCAGCTGCTGGACTCAGTGGCCTTCATGGGATCCCAAGTGGGGAATTTTCAGGAGCGGTGACAGCCCAAACCAGGAGGCAACCGGAGCTCCCTGCTGTCCGGCAGGGGCCACGGGAACCTCCCACCAGCTCGAACMGAGACACCCTCTCTCCTAAGGCTGCCCATAGGCAGCCCAGAGGAAAAACACCTATACAAAAACGGGGGCTTTCTGTGCTTTTTTAGGTTTAGCTAATGCGAAAATAATAAAGTTCACCGAAGTTTAAGGCAGAGACAATTTGATATTTGATTCAGTGTCATCACATGGATCTTGCAGTACAGTGACAAAAGAACAGAGCAAGCCTGAAAGACTGATATTTTGTATTGCTGAGGCCCTGTGAAATACACATCTCCCTTCTTCCCACACCAATTTCTACCATTAGGAGCCTGAAGGTAGAAAAAAATATTAAAATCAAGGGTATTTTATCTATATTTCTAAGTTATGTTTTCTGTTTTGTTGTGTATACTGAAATCCACCAAGTTCTCAGCATAACTGAGCATCRCTGAGAACTTGGTGGATTCAGGATACACAACAATACAGCAGCAACAAATGTTACTCATTATACATCTACCTTCAGCGTGATACTAGATGTTGTAATTGCTTTGATACAAATGACAAATGAGATCACAGAATCTATGAGAGGACTTACTTTTTATGAAATGCATTTAAATCATCATTCCTTGCTAAAGGCAGTAAAAACACACAGAAAATACAAACTGCAAGGCARTAGTGCCACTAAGCATGTCTGAAACGGTATGCTCTTTATTGCTTTACAAAAATGCTCTTGTTGTTGGCAAATACCTGATTCCTCTCGGACATAAGAAAGTCTATCCTCCCTCCAGGTAGACCTAGCTCAATGTAAGTCTTCACTAATCTGAGATCTGCGCTGTTACCTTGAAAGGGAAAACAAGCAAGAGTTACAGACTGCAAAGTGAACTTGCAATAACAAATAAAGAGAATACTAAAATAACTTRACAGCACAGCTTTATATTTAAATACAGCTAATGATATTCCCGCCCCTAATGAAAATKCAGTGAGTCCTGGGTACATAAACTGCCATGTCAAACATAACGCAGAAAAAAGAAGTCTGTAAAAATGTCATTCAACTCGGCCACCATGTAAAAAAGTGAGGATTTAGGAAGTCACAGAATCAYAGAATCATAGAATGCCSAAGRTTGGAAGGGACCTCAGAGGTCATCGAGTCCAACCCCCCTGCWCACGCAGGGTCACCTAGAGCACGTGGCACAGGGCTGCATCCAAGCGGGTTTTAAAGATCTCCAAAAAGGAGACTCCACAACCTCCCTGGGCAGCGTGTTCCAGTGCTTTGTCACCCTCACAGTGAAGAAATGCTTCCTTAAGTTCCTGTGGAACTTCCGATGCTTCAGTTTGAAGCCAGCACCCAATAGATATATGGTACTGTGAACACTAAATCCTTGAAAACCTAGTTAGGTTTTCTCAAAGGCAATTACAGTACTSTGAGCCAATTTAAAGAATTTAGTGAGAGGCAAGGAAGAAGGGCACATCAGAAAGGTTTTCATAGAGTAAAAGTCAGAGTGTGGACTGTCAGCAGGCAGAGGTATATGAASATATGTGATACACAGGACAACTAAAGCTCCTTTAGGAGCCTCTTTAGATTCCCCTGCTGCAATGGCCATGGGCCCCTTCAGGGTTGTAGGAAGGGTATTCCCACATTCGCCATCTAAAGCGCCCTTCAGCTTGCCAAGGATCTTACAAGAATGCACCCTTGAATAGCAGAACAGAGCTCTTAATTAAATCAGCTCTTAATAACTGATTAATAACTATTATTATATATATATAAAACTTTTATTAATAACTGATTTAATGAGAATTCTCAAAAAAAAAAAATCTCAGTCTGTGTATGGACTGTCTGATTAAATGGCAGTTTTTATGACTAGGTTAAGTCTTGTATCAGCTCTTGGCACCCAATAACATCTGAACAAGAAGGGATGTTTCTGAGTTCAGTGTTAACAGTGGGAGCTTTCTGCTCAGAGGCAGAAAGAAGAGCTTTATTTTCCATTTGATTTTAAATTGGGAATACAAAACATGAACAAGAAATTCCTGCAAAGCTGGTGCAGTGCAATGCTCTCTATATTGCTCTGGTGCATTCCCTTGCATTGTTCATTTCAGAAGCATCACAGAAAGAAACAAAAAGGCTGATGATAGGAAACCACGAAAAATTCCTAGCCAGAGGGGCTATCATTTCTCAGCATGCACGCATGCTTTAAACTAAAAGCAGGTGAATATATTCCAGCTGTATAAAATTTTCCATCTTATTTCTTTCAGCAAGGGATTTTCTCCTTTCTCCTGTAGCAGCCTCTCCGTCCTTGGAGATGCTTTAGGTTCCGTGGAATGTGGTCCTGGGCAGCCTGCTCCGGTCGCCCCTGCTTGGAGCAGGGAGGTTGCACTAGGTGATTATCTCTCTAAGAGGACAATTCCACAGACATTCTTTTCCTTGACAATGTAAGACTATAAATTTTGAGTGAAACTGTATTGTTATTAACTCTTGCTTATTACCAACATATGGGAAATTAGGGCATAGAAACTAGGAGATATATCTGAYTTGAACTATGACAGGAATTGAGTTTGTGGAAGCTTTGAAGAGAAATGTCACATAAAATTCTTAATTTAGAGGATTTCATGAAATAAACTGTTGGAGGTACCCCTACAGAATCAGGTTCCCATTTCCTACTGTGAACTTATTTTGGCAAGGTTTAGCTCAAGAGTGCAAATGAGAGCAACGGGACATCTGCACGTCGGCCTCGCGCAGCAGCAGCTTTCCCCACATACCATCCAGGCCGTGGACACAGACTATCAGGTGTATCCCATCTTCCGAACAGTCATCCTCTTCCATGCTAAAATAAGGTATTGAAGAAGCCAGTTTGAAAACATCACTATACATAAATCCGGGAAGTTTAAGTTGCTTCAATTCTTCTTTGGCCTGGAGGAAACTGAAACAGAACAATATTTARGATAAAACATTTACTCTAGCATCAGCAGACAAATGTGAGGGTCTCCCTAAGGTAGAGTCTTCTACTGCCTTTTTGCTCTTCCAGTTTAATAGGTATGAAGAAAAAAAGTATTTGTCAAATGACTGTCCTCACAAAATAAGTCAGTCCCTCAAAATATCTTTTCCATTTCAGCTTTTTGAAGAACCTTTTCTCAGATACAAACTCCACTCTCTTCTCCTTTAAAAACCTGAATTATTTCTGAAGCCACTGAAGATTYTGATTTAGTTCTAGTCTCGAGCAGCTCTGCTTAAAGGCAACACTGACAAAATACCATGAATTGTAACGGGATCTGAAACCAAGTATTGACTTCTGATAACTCCTGCCAAATGTGAAACCTACTTCTATGGCAGCAGGGAGCTGAACAGAAGGGTGTAAGTGGTCACCAGAAAGTCCTTCTGATAGACTATGTGATACTTGTTTCAAACGAAGCCAGAGTCAGACCTCTGATCTGTGCCCTACCACGTGAGGACTCGTGCGACACGGCTGCAAAGAGCAGAGCCCTGACCATGCCACGAGGTCCCTGCATTCCCGCTTTCCTTCCCCTCTGCACAGTTTCATTGAGAATTACCTTCCTCACAGAATCCYATTTCAGAGTTTCTTTCCAGCTTTTCTCAGTTTTCCTTCAAGAYAAAATTTTCAGAGTTTCCTATGTCCCTTCCCTCCTTATTTCATCTGCTCTGCATGATCCCACACAGCATTACCCTGCATCCCATCCTCCTCAGCAMCCCCTGCCTTATCTTCCCACCATTCTATACTCTTCCTTCTCTGTCTTCCCAGATTTTTCTCTATTTCATTCCTCAGTTAGTCTGAGAAACTCAGCTTAAACACGTCTCATGGCTCTGTCGGTCTCAAAACTAGTTCTCTAAAGCAGCTCCTGCCCTCAGGGATTACAATTAACCCACACTCCAGGAGACCTGGCTTTCCCCAAAGCCACATCCCTGATTTTATTCCCAACAAGCTCCCCCTTTCTTTCATCTATACAAGACACACTGAAGATTGTCTGCTTTTCATCCCTCCTATTCCACGCCACTACCCACTTTCTGCTTCCCATTTTCTATAACTTCAGGAGCTACATTTTTCACTTCTATTCCTGTTTTCTTCCACCATCCTTGCTCCTGTTCTCGGCTGCTTCCCCCAGGCTCTCTCATCTTCCTATCTCTTCCATCTGCTTAATATTCCCTTCATTTCTCCTGGCAAAGTTCCCTTCTTTCTGACAGCAACCTGGCACTTCCACTGCAAGAGGGGCTGAACTGCCCCTTCCCGTGTGCAGCCAGTAATAGGCTGTATCAAGGGAACTGGCTGTGTTTACAGTTAGAGAAGGTACAGCTGGAATCCCTGATGTTCCTCTGAATTCAGCTTTTCTGGTATCCAAACTGCAGTGTAATTTCAACTACTGTGGTCTTTTGGGTGCTACATTTTGGATATTTAAGTTGAAATTAGAAAATAAGGCCATCAACCTGGCCAGCATCATGCACAGTTTCACTTAACCAGTTGCTTTTTCCTTTTTAAAACAAAAGCACCGTTTCCTATACTTACTGTTTCCATTCATTCCCATTTCATAAAGCAACATTTTCATGAGCAGAAGCTGCTACTACGCTATTTTGAGGTGAATGCTTATTTTTAAAAAAGCACATATTAGAACCAAAACCCTTCTGTTTGGCTTGAGGTAGATCAAACTACATCAAACCACATGAAATGGGGGGTTAACAGATGGGAGATCTGTGCTAGCGCCTTCTCTGTGGACACCTAGGATGTGGTGCACGCGGAGCATGCGGGACCTACAAGCCCCAATCCAGGCGCATCCCAGAGGAGGCCCGGCCTCCTCCCCGCTCCACCATCGCTCCCGACCGCAAGCAGCCTCCGTGGGGAAGCGGCCACTCACGCCAGCATCTGGGGCCTGGGGGAGCCGTCGAACCAGGGGGCGGCCGGCGCGGAGCCGCCGCCGGAGCCGCCCGGGTGCTGCGGCGCCGCGAGGCACCGGGCGCCGGCCGAGCAGAGGGAGCCGCGGGGAGAGGGGAAGGGCCGGCGGGCGGCGGCGCCCGCGGGGGGCCCGGGCGGCCCCGCGCGCCCTGCGGCGCCCTCCTCCCCGCCGCCGCCGCCGTCCCCGTCCGCGCTGGAGGCCGCGTCCGAGACGGTGCAGTCCGGCTCCTCGTAGTAGCCGTTCTCGATCATCTCCTCGTCCTCCTCATCCTCCTCGTCTGCTGGGGAGGAGCAAATCGCCTGCGCTTCGTATGTTTCCTGTCGAGGGGTGATGGGGTTGCTGCTGTCYGCCGGCCAAAGGTCTGAGATATCCGTGCTGCTTTGCGAGCCAAAATAGTCTTCTACCAGCCCTTGTTTTACTATATCAGTGCTACTGGTTGGAGAAAGATTGTCTGCACCAGCTTCACTTGTAGCTAGCAGCAATTCCTCAGTTGTCTCTTTTACCTCTGAGGTTTCATGATGTTTCTCTTCACTGTGTTTTGCGACCCCACACTCGGTGCTTGTGGATGAACAACCCAACACAACAGAGGGCTCACCCATGTCAGCAGCTTCCAAATGCAATTGAGCTGTTTCTGCTGTCGTGCTCTGATGCTTTTCAAGGTCCTCAGAGTCCTTAGAGTCCTGGGGGCCATCACTTTTCCTATCAGCAGATATATCTTCATCTGAAACAACTAAGTCCAAAAGACCTTTTGTGCCTGAATGTGAGGAATGCACAGGCAGAGTTTCATTATTTGAATGCCCTGAAAATACAACACACTGTTGCTGCAAATTGCTGTTTGTTTTCTTACTGTCATCACATTTTGCCAAGTCAATTGCTCCCAGGTCCAATACTGTTTTGCTGTCACTTAGCTGGCATTCGGGTACAACAGATATCTTTGAATTCTCATCAGGCGACAGCTCATCATCGTCCGAAGGCAGCGAATTTATGGATGTCAAGGATGATTGTATTTCACTCACGGCACTGGTGCTCTCAGTGCAGTGGCTTTCTACTGCATTCTTTAGAGCACAGTCTGGTTTTAGTAAGAGCTGAGGAAACAATCTCTCACTACTGCACGCTCTTTGCCCTTGGACGTTTTCGAACACCTGATCAGGGTTGGGGTGAGTTGCAAAAGAGCTGGGTTCACTCTCCACCCCTGAGTCTGAAAACCGAGACGAGGCGCATGTCACACTCACATCTGGCAGTTTAGCCACCTCTCCACTCAGAGAAGCTGGAGTCTCTTTCGGAGGAGGAACAGGCTGACAACTTCTTATCCTTGCTGGGACAACGCAGGTATGTTGCGCATTTCTTTCGAGGTTGTCCTCCTTCTCCARTACTTGTTCCTGTTCTCCTGAGTTCAGCTTATTTCCAGATTCCGAAGCCTGAATATTGGGTGTTTGCAGATTCCCTCCGGGCACTCCATCGTGGGGAAACTCAGCCCACGACCCGATGTGAACGGCCACCTTCTCCCCCTCGTAGGGATCCCTGTCGCTTGGTTTGACCTCAGTCGTCCTGACCCCCGGGGAAGCCGCCTGAGCTCCATGCCGAGTGTCAAGCGAAGCTCCGCGCTGCGGAGCCTCTCCCTCTGCTTCCGTAACTCCAGGACCTGCCTGGGGGATACCAAGCCCACCAAAACCAGTCGTATCTGTGCAATGAGAATTCCCTGGGCTCCCTGGAGTGGCCTGAGCGCCCTCGGTCTCGGCAGTCCCCGGCTCAGCTCCTGGGGCAGCCTCTGTTGGCCCTGGCTGCCCGGCGCAGCTCTTGGTCTCSTCCCAAGGACACTCCTGTGCCGGAGGCTCCGGCCCCGGGGCCTGGCGACAGGCGGGCCGGGCGGCTGCGCCCCGGCACGCGTCCTCCAGGGCGCCGCTCTTCAGGCACTTGTAGCCCACTAGCACCACAGAGTCCTTGGAGTTCTGCTTCACTATTTTTCTCGTGTTTTCAGGTTTCATTGTTTTCATAAGCTTCGTAACCTTCACTTTGGATTTATTTGCATCTTCGTTTCTCCCTTTCAATGGCTTTGTTAGCAGCTTTTCACTTTCTGAATGCCAAAGGTTGGAGGTACCTGCAGGTCTTGAAATTTTCAATTCTGGGCTAGTAAARCCAGCTACAAAACCTTCTTCAGCATCAAATTTATCCAGTTTATTGGACTCTGACCTTGGAAGATTCTGAACTACCAACCAGGGMACATCCAGATCTTTTATCAAAAGAAAAAGTGAGAAAAATATATTATTTACAACACTGTGCAAAGAACTGCAGCTATAACATAACTAATTGTAGAACCTTAGAAATCTTTTAGAAATYGAGAAACATTGCCAGAAAATAGAAACACTCTGTCATAGCCAGGCAGCAACACAAACACACACACGCACAACCTCCTCCTAATTTTTGCTCACATCTCCAAAGAGAAACCTGCAGTGAGGTTTGCTCACCTTCAGTGATCGAATCTAGATACCGATCTTCAAAGATGATGGGCAAGGAGTTCATATCTCCATCTAGTTCACTACATTCAATGGGCAGCGGGGGAAGGGAACTGCAGAAGGAAGTGTTTTTGATAGCTGCACACATCTGCAGGTGGCTTTGAGCACTGAAAGAAAAGAAGTCGTCCCACATGACAAAAAACAACTGCTTATATTTACATCAGTGGAGCTTAGGAGCACTTTAACTCACTTTAGGAAGTGCTTTTTGCTGATTACTTATTTACATAAGATAGATTTGAATTCCTCTGCCCTAASTTCTTACACAGCTTCATTAAAAAATTTCAAATGCTTATTCAGGTCATTTTCTACTGGATTTGTTACATATGAGTTTCTAGAAGATAATATTTTTACACAGCATGAGCTGTAGAATAAATACTGCTAGATGCTATCTATCTATCTCTCTATACGTGTGTGTATGTACGAGTGGAGAGGCTACTCACTGCAGTTCTTGGTAGGCAAGGGCAGCCTGCCTGGGATGCTCCAGGCAGAAGAAAGCCTCCGCAAACCTGCGCACCTGCAAGAGCCAAGGGAAGTTAGAGCTGATTATCACAGGAATTTCTGAAAAACGTCCMGCATCCCCACGCCACAATGTCATTAACTTGCATTAACTTGCATTACAGTTATTTTTTATAAATGTCCAGTCCAGGAATGGATGGGAGTAGATGCCATGAAAAAGGCTATCAACTGAAAACGGAATCTTAACTTATGCTGCAAACTACATTAAGACTCAATCGACTGCTGAGAACTCAATTATAGAGAAATAAATCAAACAAACAAGGCTCATCTGGAACAGAAACATGCCAAATCTTAAGAGAAATTCAATGGAAGGAAATGAAATTACTGTGTGGTGGACATTTCTGAATATGCCTGAGAATTATCTCTAGAAGCAAAAAAACATTTCAGATATTCTCTAGTCCCGGGACCCCAAGAAGGTTGTGTTTCAAACTGCCCATGAATACTCTCTGGCCCCAAAGTGAACTCTACAGCAATGAAAGTCATTTACTGTGAAGATTTCAGCTGCCATTCACAGAGAGAGCAACAAAACATAAGCTAATTACTAGTGTTGTACTTGGGACTTAACTGCATGTCCAGGGTTAATAAGATTACAAGGTTAATATGGTACCTTACACATGGCGGGGGGGGGATTATTTTTATCTAATATATAATGATGAAATGGGAGTGTGAATTATACTATAATTACCACAAGTAAAAAACGTATAATAACAAAGTATATTGAAAATACAGTATCTAGAAAATTCAAAAGCTGAAGTTTTGCAAGACGGGTTTCATACATTTTAATTAGTACATGACATTAATTTAATCTGAATGTGTTTTTTAATCAGATTTTTAAAGCAACTCATCATTATGATGACTGTCAGCCTAAACAACTTAAAAAAAGTATTTAAAAGATTCCAATCAATTGTGTAACAGGAAATATTTCCTAATTAGGAGATATTTCTGTGATCCGAGACCAAGAATAGCATAAAAGATGTTCTTGAATTTAGCTGCAATCAGTCACTTCATCATGTAAAGTAACTGGAATTATTATGCAGAGAACTTTACACTTCTGCCACTGACTGCCTAGAGAAGAAAAGGCAGGGGCTTTACGGAGAAAATGCTGCTAGGAAAGGTCTCTCCAGACCAGGGGGTCAAAAACAGGAACAGGCTGCCCAGGGAGGCTGTGGAGTCTCCTTCCCTGGAGGTCTTCCCAACCCGCCTGGATGCTGCCCTGTGCTCTGGGTGTCCCTGCTGGAGCAGGGGTTGGACTGGATGATCTCTAGAGGTCCCTTCCAACCTTAAGGATTCTGTGATTCTTCATTTGCTGTCCACACTACTCCTAACTGTTGCAACAATTCCAGTATTTTTGACAAAAATCCGAGCCCGGCTCCAGGGAGCTCTCAGTAGAGCAGCAAAGGTGCGGCGCTAGTGGAAGGCCAGCTCCAGGACTGCTCCAAAGGCCCAGATACATCCATATTACACAGGCTGGGAATGTGTGTGGGGGGGAAAAAAAAGCAATCCTTACATTCTCACTACATTTTAGGAATTATCAAGCTGAAAGGAATGGTTTTGGAATATCATGCCCAGAGCTACCAGGAGATGTCACTATGGAATAAGTACCTTGTATGAGCCAATTTAGCGTGCCAAAGTTCTGTAATATTCCAAATCTCAAACAGTTTTTTCAATAGTTGAAAASTTTATTATTAGGGGGATATTACAGAAGATGGATGTTCTAGTAGGCCTAAAATTTCAGTGCTTTTAATGTAGCAATTAAAATCTGTTATAGCATTCTAGAGAGGAGATGTACTCAAAAGTGCTTGTAAGGTATTTAAAATACCTATTTCATTATATCATAAAAAATAACGTAACATCCTTATTTTCTAACTACACTCCAGAAAAAAAAATGCAGGTGTTTTTTAAGTATCTAAAAGCAATGCACAGGGGCTGCCAGTCATTTGTCCGAGGCTGATGGCAGGTACTTGTAGGGAGTTGCTTTACTACAAACCTCTGAACCAGTCAGATAAATATGCCTAGAAGTGTCTCTTTCTGATAGACTAACATAAGACTTTCCTGTAAAAAGCAAAGACTAAAAGTATTGTAAGGTGAAATGGTAAAACTAAGGGATATTTAGCATCTAGCAGAGAATACAATAGAGAAACTACCTAAAGGTAAATAATGTAGATAAAGTAACTGCAGAATTCAAAAAAAAAAAAAAAAATCACTAGTAGACACTTCTTTTCCAAAAACAAAGATCAACTTTCTCAGTTGTAACAAGGTCACCTTAGAGCCCAGAGATCTTGATTTAGAAATTCAAGTGACTCGGCATCTCAATAGCGAGCCACACTGAGGACCACGAAGACTCTTCAACTCCCATCATCCTTACACTGTGAGCACGGGTTCATAGCCCCAGGAAACAATATTTCTCCACTTTTGACGACAGAACAAATTTGTTTTTAAGTTTAAATTATGGGGATACGGGAGTACTTGGAAAAAAAATGCAGGCATGAAACCAAGTGATAGATTTTTTTAAGGAGAGGGAGGGGCCTTTTGTGTTTTGAAAACTGGAAAGCATCAAGGAAGCACTTTTAATATGCACGATGCCTCAATTCACTCAGGGTCATAAACCACTTTCATTTATATTCCTTAAAACAACTTCAATGAAATACAATTTTTAAGGTATTTGAGAGCTAGAKATTGAATTAAACAGAGCACTTAAGAGAGAGGCACATTCAAGAAACTACGTGCACATCATTACCCAATGTAKCTTGCATTTTGAAAGCAGGACCAGCAAAAAATAAAATATTAAAGCTTGTTCTTTCTTATTAAATATATATTTGTTWAAAAAAAAAAAMCCTTAAYATCTGAATGAAAATGTGGGTTATCAGAAATACTTTCCTCCTTTTAACTTCATCAAGAATTAATTTTAAGGATTCCTGAATTTTTACAGACAGCGTGCAGTAAGTAAGATCACAGATGGATAGTAGAGTGATCACAGGCTAAGAGTGATCACAGCCCAATCCAATAAATAAATCTTTCTGAAAGATTTMATTTGTCCCCCAAATTAAGCAACAAACCCTCATTAACAACATGGTTTAGCGAGTCTTTATGATCAAGACCATGGTCCATTGTGTCCAGAGTCTAGAGGGAAAGGTTATTGATGAGGGTCACAGAAATGCAAGTTAGACCAACAAATCTTTAAGAACTAAAAACCTGAAATAGATTTTAGACTGTAGCACTAGTGTCAGGTATTCTCACTAACTTGATGAAGCAACAAAGTCTCCGCAAACAGCTTTAGAAGAAGAGCTTTCAGATAAGMTCTTAAAGATGACCTTTCTATTATGTGTTGTGATAAATGCATGGGTTGTGATCTCAGACTGTAAAGATGTCAGTTGTGTTTTGGGGGATTTTTTTTGGTTTCTGTTTTAATGAATCTTACTCTCTGAAAACTTTACCATGTTAGGTTTGTTCACATTTTTGATATCAAAAGAGAGGAAAAGTATTCATTAGGAGATGAGAGGACAGCTTTAGCCAATACTTGAAAACAGCTCACTCTGAGAATCAGCACTGTTGTGATTTTGTCTAAGCCTACAAAACTTGCATGAACATGCATATAAAGAAAAAGATCAACTCTGTGTGTGTGTGTGCGCGTGTGTGTAGTTACTCACCACATGTACATATGTTCACATTTCAGATGATTTTTGTTTTTAAAATCCTGCTTAAGAGTCCCTTCAGAGTTTACAAAGAGTTTACAAATGCTATAAATTCTTAAATCGGAAGAAAAATACACTTAATTTTGTAACTTGAGCAGACAGCCTATATGTAGCAGGGAAGTAAAATGAGCAAGCACTAAGCATGCCACCAGAATAAAAACATATTGTTCTAAACAAATACCTCTTGTGCCACAGCCCACACTTTGCCTCTGAACTGCAGTTTTTATTCAGAAGTTCAATGAATTAGTTGCTTTGTATTTTATGTATTATATTCGAAGAATAAGCGCTATTTGCAATCTCAATTTGATACATATTTCCATAACAGCGTGATGTGCTCTTTATAATGCCAGAATCAATACTCACCCTTAATGTGTGATGCTCCTGTGCTAGCAGTGCTGTCACTTCCTCTTGTAAGGTAATGACCTCCAGAAACTGCCCCCAGAGAGCCATTAGAAGGGAGCACAGCTGAGCAAGATTCATATTTATAAGTTCTGCCAGTTCATCAGGATTTTCCATTTTCTGAAATTTGAGGAAAAAAATATTTACACAATTGCAAACCMTAACATGTAGACACAGGAAAATAAAGCAGAAAACAGACACTCAATACAAAATGCCTCAGTCGCAACTTGATGTGATCTTAAAAGTTTATTTTCAAAAAGAGGTATTTCTATTTCAGAACGGTCACAACTGACTRTAACATTTATATAGACCTACACATCCAGATGACACTACCCGGCTATGTCTATACACACTTTAAATGTCCTTGGGGACCAGCATCATACTTAGAACCAAGATCTTCAAAAAAGATCTCAGAACAAGAACTTCTTAGAACCAGATCACACACAGATAAACCCAGTGTGAAGGAAGTTTTTCCCTTCAGCAATGTGCGGCAGCCTGGGRTAGAGCTCTGTGTACATCAGTGGTGGACTACTAGGTTTTTATTTCCTGCCACGTAATTTTTCATCAAGTAATCACAGGCACAAGAAGCATTGGCACAATGGGTTTTAGAGTTTTTAGGGTAAGGATAGAGAAGAGCCAAGTTCAGCAATTTCAAAGAGGAAGTAGCAAGAGGGACAACAAATACTGAGATGCCAACTCAGCAGGAGAGAGCGCAGGTAAGGTGTGGAGGGACGCATGAGGAGAATTGCATAGAAGAATGGAGACAAAGCGAAAACAAAACCAAAAAAACATAGCTTAATAAGCTGAKAGAGGAACTAAGGAAGAAAAATGATCGGAGGTCGTGAAATACCTCACATTTAAATATGGAAAGCCTGTAATGTGTAAATAAGACTGCTAGTGGCCCACAGGGGTAGCAGWGCTGGTGCTGACTCAGCTGCACTAATGGCGCCCTGCGAGGCCGGATGAGGCCGGCTGGCGCGGCCTGCGCCCGGCGCCATCCCCAAGCCCCTCACACGTCCCACCTCGAGASCTTCTCGCTGGTGCACGTGAAGGACAGAGGCTGGGACAGAAAGGCAGGAAAACTAATGCTTTTCCTTGGGGAAAGATGGCAAGCGTGGGTACAGGTCTCTTCCAAGCAGGGTGGCACCCCCGGGGAAACGCTCCTGTACGGCCTGCCGTACACGACCGCCCCATTCTACAACACTGTGGTACCAGAGGATCATAAAAGCAGGAATGCAAACAATGAGCACAGAAAATTCAAAACACGAGTTTACTGCAGGCTGGCATGACAAGATGCCATGTGAGTAGTTAAAATTCTGAAGCTGAGTGACTTCTCTTTGGATGGGAAACTGCTGAAAGAAACATTGGCCAAAAAAACACATAGGCAGCGATGACTGAAACTGAAATCTATTCCCAAGTAAGATATGAAATCAGCATCCTCTAATTTTGTAGATATGAAGAAAAGAGTACCTTTATTTCTTCACACAATTCTGTAAGACGGACTTCTACATCTAAGTTTTCTGGAAAGACGAGAGATGCAAACACATGAAAAATGTATTTCTCACGGTGCACAATCAAAGTAGTTATCTATTCAACAGATATTACACAATTAAATTATATATTATTTATTATTATTATAGAATTTAAACACACATTAAAAAGAAAAGAGACTATCAAATAAAATGGGATGCCATTCTAAATTCAACAATGAATTTGAAATGCTGTACGTTTTAAACTCAAGTTAGATTGTTTTTTATTAATTACTGAGGTAGAAGACAGAACACCATTAACTAAAATTGCTTTTATTTACCCTATTTGTAATCTAAGCTACCAACATCCATAAAAACACAGTTGCTTAGTTGTATGAGGAATTGTATTTTGGTTAAAAACTATTCTTTATGTAATACTGATCTACAGAAAGGATGATTAAGAATAACTTAATCTTCCATATTATGATAGCTTAAACTGGATCACACCCTGGAATGACTTATTTAAAAGAGAGAGAGAGAAAAAAAAGCATTTCTTCATTCACATTGAATGTTTCTCCTTGTCACCCATTCCAATTCTAGTCAAGCAACTCCAATCAGTTAAATGTTAATTTAAGATTATGGTTTCATTTCCTTCTTTACTTGAGGTACGAGTGAATAAACAGCCATTTATAACCCCTAAAACTCTGTTTGTGACAAATATTTATATTCATTTTTSAAATATAGTATTAAGGGAAAAAAACCATAATATTTCTTGAAAACATATACACAAAACTTGTCTCCAATCCCACAATTAAAAATAAATTAAAAAGTGATATGGATAGCAAACATAAATTTATAGAGCAGCAATTGCATTTTCACTCAATTTACCTTTGAATGATACCACCTAGGCATAGTGGCTATGTATTGATTTTCAAATAATTGCATCTATTGCACTTATTGCCATTATACTTAACATCAAACAAAAAGTTCTGAGAAAACATACAACTTGCAGAAATGCACAAAGTGCCCAGAAACAAGATTAGAAATGTTTCTGAAAGATACTGCCTAAATCTGTTCACTAACTCATGCTTGAAGATTATTCTGAAAAATCTAATTTTGTCATTATTGAAAATATTAAATGGCTTATTTACCAGAGCCAGTATTGAATATTTATCTTCAATGTCAAACTGCAGTTGGTGATAAGTTCTGAACAACAGTTAGAACTCTGAGGTCTAAAATCATTATGGAAAACCCCAAACTACAATATTCTTAATAAAAAATGACATAATACAGATCCTACAGGGCAAAAGGTGAAAGGAAATTTAATAGTAACATTCTATAGCAGCAGTGTTTAGCCAGCAAACACGTGATGCAATTCTGCTGGCTTCATTTCTTTAACCAAAAAGAAGATGCAGCGATATATGATCATGCTTGTCACCAACTATGGCTCTGAACTAACAGCTTTTTTCTTTCCCATCATAAACTGTGAAGTGATGAGCAACATCATTTGGCCAATATCAGGGTAGCAGGGACACTCTTCCAAGGGAGAGCTGTCTTTTTAGACCCAGACAGCTGCAACTTAAGCCTTGAGAAAGTCTTGTGCAGTGTTTGGGGGAAGCCTGAGGGAACCTGAAAGATTTTGCAGGGAAGAAAGCCTTCTGCATGGAAGAAAGTTAAGTCTGCAATAAGCAACCTGTAATTACCTTTTTTAGCTGGTTATTTCAATGGTGACAGCTGACTAAACTTTTCAATCATTTCTGTTTATTAAAACAGGACCACAAAAATAAAACAACACCGAACCAAGAAAGCAGCAATAATTTCTCATTTCACCATCTATATTCAGCACAGGTCTAAGTAGCTCAACTCCACAAACTTCAGAGTTCAACATACTTTCACTGTGCCTGAATACAGAGGCTTTTTTTCTTCCTGTTTACACATAAAAATGGTTTATATCATTAAGAAAGATCTGAGGGGTTATATCACCTGCTTTGTAAACATACCTAGGTAGGCGTCTCTCTGGGCTCGTGGATATTTTCTTCTGAGGAGGCGTTCATAAAGGACCTGCATGCTGGCCTTGGCTAGTTACAGGGATTGCATACACATGACTAGTTACTAACCTCCTTTTTCCATCTGTGATTTATTATTTGCCTTAAAGTTAGTAGAAAGAAAAGCTTATTGCTAGCCTAGCAATTAGTGCAGTTAAATCAGTACAGTAAAGCACAGATTTTGAGGGTAGTTTCTCGATTAGGTTTTATTCATGATGTACATTATGCCCACTTGTTTTCCTGTTTATTTCCTGAGGCCAGTAATAGCTAAGTGTTAAGGTTACTAAGGAGTTCTTTGCGCATGCTGCTGCAAAGTCACTGTGCTTTCTCAAAAAGATAAGGTAGTTGAAACTGAGTTGGAATGTACATCATAAAATTGGGCAAACAGAAGAAACAAAATCACAAAAAAGTGATGATTCTGAGACTGAAACAGGACTTGAGATTCCTTTCCCCAAAATCCATCTAAATTTCATGTGTAAAACTGCTCAAAAGAAATAATTCATTTATTTCAAAAATTAAATATAAGGGACAACAGTTGCACATACTTTGTAAAGTCCAGAGTGCTTCATTTTTTTGGTATAAATTACAGAAACATGTTTTTTTCATTGCTGATGGATTTTAAAGGAAGTACTGAAAGCAATTAGTTATTTGTTATGAGCAAAAGGTGAGCAAAAATAGCTTAATTAATATTTTTAGTTCCTTTTGTTATATCAGTTGTTCCAGTCAACATGCATACATCATAACTGCAATAAATTTCAAAAGATTCATAAATAAGAAAATAAGTTACAGCAGAAATTGAAAAGATTTTGAAAAAAATAGGAAACAAACTGTCAGCAAAATATGCACAGTGTATGTCAAATGTAATTACAAATATTCACATGCCTCAATGTATTGTTTAAACTTGCATTTCCTCAAGGTAAGCTAAAGGACTCGCAGAAATCACTAACAGTTTGACTCAAGTTCCACTGAGGCTTATGAAAATCTTTTGACTTCAGTGAGGCTTGAGGGGTACCACCCAGCTACGAAATGCAATTACTTGCATCTTTTTGTTATATATATTTTGTAAGAATGTTTTACAAAATGTAAACTCCTATCTGAAACATTTAAATTGCTGGATTTAGTTGCAGCCTGCACTTACAATGGCTTTAAAACCAAGAGATACTATTCGGCAAAAAGTGCATTTCGTCATTAAAAGGAAGACTAAGAGTTGAATCATCCACATAACAGGCCATTCCCCCCTCCTCCACATTGAAATTAAAATAACTGAGAAAAAATATTCTTTGCACCATAACCATTCTTTGCTGCTATAAAGAAAAAGCCTCAGTTTCTACATTAATTGTACGTGCAATTTATGTGGAAATTTTTAGCATCCTTCCTCCAGTAATCCCACTCCTAAAATGCCTTTTCATTTTTGAATGTGTGTGTGAAACATCCTAWGTTTTGATCGGTAACTGGCTGCCATGTCACACATCTCCATTCTCCTGTCTTATAAACTAGTGTTTAATTTTGATGTTGTTGAAATTACACAAACTACATACATTGCATCATATCATAATCTATACCTGCTGTCTACAGTCAGTGTAAATTCTGAAAGACCTGCCTCGTCTCTGGATTTAAATAAAACTTCACAATATACACAGAGAAGGTGTTTGTTGGGAAACAAGTCCAGCTSGTCCTTTCTGAGGCCAATGCAGTGTCCGTTTAATTTATACTACTCTCCTCATTCTGCAAGCTCAAAGTAGACTCTCTAACACACCAGCATTCTATAGAAATGCATTTCATGGAGTATTTTCACAACTATTTTTATCAAGTACGGTTCATTCAAGTTACTTCAAGTTACTAGGAACCTCCACAGCCATAGAATTTATAACTTAGGTTTCTTTCTATGAAGCTGATCTGTAAGAGTTTAATTTTAACTTTATTAAAGAAATAGCTGCTCTGAAAGTGTATTTTAACTCCTCAGTTTTATAGGAACAGTTTGTCTGTATTCAGATTGCTTTTCCTAATTCCCAGGTAATTAAGCCATTGGTCTACTGGTCAGTTCAAGGGTTAAACTGCAGACTAAATCAGCAGCATTTTTTTCTTGTAGGTCTTCAGGTAAGTTTCCAATGTAATATTCTTCACAAATCCAAGCTTTCATTTTTAAATGATTACAAGTTGCTTCCTCGCAACTTACAATCATGCTTTACATAAAAAAACTTACAGCATGCTTTTCTAGACTCTTTCTCCAAAATTCTCACCACTAAAAACCATTACTTGAAAAACAGGCCAAATCTTAAAACAAAGACCTAGAAGAAAAAAATATTTGTATAAATTCAGACTGTTATCTTATTATTTCATTAGTGGAGCGATGCTTTGTTTTCTTCCTCCCCATTATGAGTTATTAAGCTCCAGATCAATTTAAGCAAACAAATTGCAGGTATACAAGATGTACAAAATTAACACTACTTCAGCCTAGAAGAGGGGACATTTGTAATAAGCACTGAAAGGAAAGCAATGCATTTTATTATATTCAACGTACCCAGTTCAATTCGGTGAGAAGAGGGGAGTTCCTTTGTTATCATAATAAAATAGCTATGCAACCCTTTGAATGCAAGCAGCAAACTGGCACAAAGTGTGTAGTGGAAATTATAGGCATGATTGAGGAAAGACTCTGAAACCACAAAACTGCAACCCTAAAGAAACAAACAAGCACATATTAATTTCATCCCGTAAGTGGAGCATTTACAGAATAAAGTGGACTTTTCAGTGGATTGCAGTAGATCAGAAAACAGGTCAARCACTAAATATTTTAAGTGCTCTATCTACATGATCCTGAAATGTAACATAACCTTTTGGAACAATTTCTCTTTTGAAAAGTGCAAAGTACCTCCAAATTTCAATCCGAATCAGACAGTATTTCTGTAAAAAYGTAAAAATCCATGCCACCCCATACAATATAAATAATATGTTTAACTGATAAATGCTTACATCTGCTGATAACTGCTTTGTGTAGTTATTGCCAAAGACCACACTTTCAAGGGAAGGAATCACAGAGTCCCTGTTCTGTGCTGGTGCGTTCCTGTTCAACCATGTGTTCTTCACGGGGCGAGGAAAGCTGCAAGAGATACCCACATTTTCAGAAATACAAATGAACTGCACTACTCTAACATCCTATTTATCACAAATCTGTCTTAGCTACAAAAATTCTCAGCATTTCTTTGAAAAAACATGCCAAAACACCACTCCTCAATAACATACTGTAAGTGCCCAGGCTGTTGGTACTGCCCTTTTAAAGGAGGACTTGTGAAGTAGCTCTCTTCAAGGAGCATCTCCAGCAAGCTGCAGCAGTTTAGGAATTTACCACCCTCTTTTGCTGCCATCTCTTACCACAAAAGCCAGCAGAATCTATGCCAGGGAACTGTCAGGCTCTCCCTTATTCTTTTTAATGCAGAATTCAAATAATTTAAACAATATTCCTGAAAGTTTAAGCCAAACAGCCGCATTTTTAATTACAACAGGTTAAGAAGCACTCATCTTCTGCCAACTTTGCTGCAAGGTTTATTAGGTTGTAAAGGAGACCGAGCAGCAAAAAACCCTTGGAGGGCTGAGTCACACAAACTGTGGCTGCTGATTGAGTAACTGAGACCTCAGCTACTCAAAGAGAAGGCCCATCCAAAAATCCCAWTCTGGATCCTTAATGTTCAGTCCTGACTGAGAATTAGTTACAAAATTGTTTTTCACTTTCTTTCCATGAAACAAGGCGATAAATAAATGCAGAGGAAAACCTTGAATTTCACCACAGTGTTTTTGACAATTCACATTTTATAAACATGATGCTGCTGCTTTAAGTGCATCATTTTACAGAATTACAGTGGTAACGGAGAGTTAAGAAATAAAGAGCTATTCCTGCCACTAACAGAGTCAAGAGTTGATCTTCCCAATTAGAAATATGTATAAATAGCTTCCTCATTTCTCTGGTTTTAGGTATTAGCTCTACTTCGTATTATCTACTCCTRTTTCTAAGAGAAACAAAATTTGTTCGAGGTATCTTTTAAGACAAGAGGTGTCTGCTACTCCTAACCCTCAAATTCCCGAGTTGTCATAAAGAAAACTACATTGTATATAGACTTAATGTCTTTCAAATATTTTATTTTCACAGCACTTCCAATGGGCACCCAAATACTTTATTGGCCTTTTATTAATAGATTACCTTATCAATGGCTGATGCAGAGCAACCAAAGAAGCATGGACTATGACAGATATGACCGAAAGGTGGAAGTAGTCAAACATAACGTTGACATAATGATGAAGGCCCCGATGCAAGTTAAAGTGCAGCTTTAAAGTTCGGCTACTGATTGGCTGTAGTGTGCTCAGGTCATCGGGTCTAAAAATAAATAAAAACACACAGAATTAGAGCAACTGGCTTTAAAGTAGGTAAGCAAAAAAATACAAGAGCAATACACAAAATAGATTATTAGTAACTGTTGCAGCTATCARTTCAGCACTGGCATATACTTTGGAATGTTAATTTACAACCTGTCAACATTTTGCTTTAACAAAACCTTCCAGATTTACACTTACGAATAGTCTGTATCTGTGAAGTGTAGATCTAATGTTAGCAGAAAATTCATTTCATTAAGAGATTCTTCAATCTAAAAAGAAATTGTAGAATCATGAAAACTTTTCAGGTCTTATACTTAAGAGTAATCTAAACTATAAGTAACAGCAATTTAAGTATCTGGATATAGTAAATTGAACGGCAGATTACCTTCCTCTCATCTAACAGCATTTTTACTTTGAAAATCATCACATCATTTACAGAAACTTCCTCATTTTTGTAAAGAATCTGAAATGTTTTACTGCAAACTACATTGTCATGGACTGAAGCGGGAAAGGCAAGATCTGCACCTGAAAAGAGAGAAACAAGTGTTAATAAAAACTGGTCTAGAATCTGGAAATGTTGGGGCAGCTGATAAGTGAACTTTTCATTCCTGAAAGTTTCATCTCCACTATCAGAACTTAAAGCCAACAATGAAAACTGGAGATCAGAGAAATGCTTTTGTTTCTAAGAAATACGGTATCAGTATTTTGGAATGTAATTTACTTTCAATACAGTTTCCAGACTGAGTATTTTTTGCTTGGTTCTGAGCTGGAATAAATCCTTCCTGGCACCAAAAGTTCTGATAAAAAGTATAAAGTTTGTTTTCTTTCATTCAATATTATTGTTTTAAATTTTTTAAGCACATTGATAACTAGGAATGACTTGCAGATGAGAAAGAAAGGTTAAATGTCACGCATGAACAGTCTGAGGTACTCCAATACGCAGGTGGTTCCTTTCTCTCTGCCTTCCCTCCTTCTCCACCTACCTTCCTTCCCTCCTTCCACACTTTTATATACTATTCTGGCCACATCAGTTCCAAATACCCTTATGTTTCTTGTTCAATACTGCACTTTTGCTGATAAGAAAGAATTCACAACAGTTGTGATGAATGCTTGATGAATGTTTGGGGGAAAAAAAAAGTTTAGTGGGAATGAGCAAGCCATCTTAACAGATGACTTCATAAGAATTCACAGAAGGAAAAAAAAATCCACCTGTAGAGTTCGTGCTTCACAGCTTTGGGGTCTACAAGGCTGATACTCCCACCCTGTAACCTTCATAAAATCGGATTTCAGCCTCCCTTCAGACACTAGACACAAGTGCAGACGAGGAGACTGCAGGGGCTGGGCCCCCAAAGGGAGCTCTCCCGCTTAAGGCACCTTGATTCCGCAGCAGGAATCCCCCAGGCACGACACAGGGCAAGGGCGGCCAGGACACGGCCCCGACCACACGCACCCTGATGTAAGCGCAGGGCGCCAGCCAAGGGCAGAGCCCCAGGTCTGATGAGAAAAGGGGCGATGGAAACACGTGGCCGAGAAAAGGGGCGCTGGCAACACGTGGCCGCGGTGGCAGGGCCTGCGCGCCGCTCCCGGCCCCACTCGCTCCAGCCAGCGGAGAAGCCTCTCACTGCTCCCACAGGAGAAGCTGTTCCCCACAGGAGAGCCCCTTGGAGGCAAACCCACAGCTCTGTGGCCATGTGGGGAGTGAATGGCCCCAACCATGAGACCCGCAGGGAAGCTCGTCCTGGCTCCCACACTGCTCTAGTGAAATAGGGAAACGGGAAGGSAAGAAAAAGGGCTTGGAGAGAGACGTGGGCCCTGAGGAAGTTGGGAAGGGCTGACAAGCAGTGGAAGGAGAAGCAATGCAGCAGGAAGAAGGGAAATGCTGAGGTACATTTACCTTGGGGTGAGCAGGAAAGAGGCTCAGGAGAGCGGGGCGCTTGCTGGGGAGAGCGAGGAACCGTCAGGAAGACAGGGAGCAGGATGAGAAAACCAYGATGTTGTCAAAGGGAGCAGACCCGAGGAAAGCCCCAGGTATGAGGACGATGGAAGAACAGAGCCCAGCGGCTCAGAAGACCCTCCTGGTGCCACGTGACACCGGCCCCAGCGAGAGCTGCGGCTCCGGCCCAGCTGCATCTGCTCCACCAGGGACGGACACCAGGCACCCTCGGAGGGTGGCCTGGACCCGCAGCATGAGTCCACAGCCCGGGACAGGGCCTCTTCTTTCCAAAATAATGGCCAGTGACTGACACGAGCTGTTTGATCACCTTGAATGTAAGGCTGTGAGCTAGATCTACCGCTTCCAATCCTGCTAAATTAAGGACACATCTGAAGCAGATGGAAGAGGGGTCCTCCGTGAGACAAAGTACAACCACGTCCACAAGAAGGACAAATGAATACCATCCTTACCACATATACAAAAATCCATCTTTACCACACACACACAAATCTAAACTCCTACCAAAACAGAAGCAATTCCACCCACTCCTCGGCTGACCCCACATTCCTGCTCTCCACATGGTCGTGCTGCTGTGGCACAGACACTACTAGCAGCTACGCGGTGAACCAGATGCAGACACTGATCTCAAAAAGCATCCCAGCTTTTCYTCCCGACTTTTCTTGGTTTGTTTTGTTTGTTAAGCCTGTTTATCAGCTGGCTGAGCTCCTCGGTAGGGTTTGCTGGCGAGAGCCGGGCGCAGAGCAGCAGGAAACAGCCTCAGGGAGACAAAGGCTGCTGCTTTTTTCACACTGTTGGTTTAAGCTCATGTCAAACTGCAGACGTAAYGTAGCTCATGCCTAGTAAAAAGAGATTAAAGGGCTAGAATATATGTCACAAAACCCATTATGCTTTCTGAAAAATAACTGAAGGCAGGTCTATAAGACACTGTGAAAAAAAAATTAGAGTTAATAAAAATATAATTTAAGTAACACTATTAAAAAGTATCAGTTTAGTAAAGTTAAATTCCAGTAAACCACAGTACAATTATGACTTAAAAAAAAAGTTCCTTTGTTCATAAAAAAAAAAAAATTACTTCACACATACCCAGGAACCATTCAAGAAGCTTYAGCACCTTTACTGGTGATTCTGCACAATAATTCAGGTCTCAATAATCTTATATCACATTTTCTAAGTCTGTACCAAGATTTTCTTCCTGGCAATTCCAAAAATTTCTTTTTTTTTCAGAATTAGGAAAGCATTAACATACGTTTTTCTGGGTTTAATGTGCCCAGGGCACAAAACTGAGTACCATGTTTAAAACTAAAAGAATGGTTGGGGGAAGTGGCTCTGGGCAGATATTTCTGTTCAGGAGCTTAAACCAGGTTTTAACGYTGCTCCTGGACAGCAAGGCCCAGGGGCAGAGGCAGGAAGGACTGAACCTCTTCAGAGCCTTTCTTTGCAAAGAAACAAGCTCAGCAACCTGCAGCAAAGGCTGAAGCAGCTGAAGTTCTTCTTTCCTCTGAGGATACCTGCTTAAATGACACCTACCCAGTCTTCAGCCATTTTTGTCCATAACAAGAGAAAATTAAGGAGATCAGCGGAAAAAAACAGAAGACACTAATATGAAGGAATCACCGTGTTGTGTTACCAGTAATGGGAATCAACAGAGGAAATACTGTAACACAAGTTCTGTAATTAACTTAAGTCTCATTGCTAAGAACAAACAAGCTATTTTTTCAGTAGGCCAGCATGGAGTTGTATTTTAATTGTGTTAATAAAAAGATATAGAATTAAAATTCTTATATTAGCTATAAAAACATAAGAGAAAAAGAACAGTCCCTTAATCAGCAAGGGGAGATAACGAAGCCATTGGCTAAAAGCTCTTGCACTTACCAGGTGCGTGTAACAAGCTAGCTTCCAATTTGTGGGGAATTCTTGGTGGGATTTTCATAGATGCACGAATCTGGTAAAAACTAAAGCAAAAGACAGTCATTGGCAACACGCTCAGCTCAGCGCCCTCACATACCCACACAGACACAGGCAGGGGCAAAGGCAGAGCTATGAAATCCCCAGACTGTCTCCTCTATTGATTCTGGTGGAACTCTTTACACGACCCCGGAGTCTATAAAAATGCACTAGATGATCTGTTGTCCCCGTGATACCCCGCTCCAGATAACTCACTGTAATTCATTTTCAGAGGTAGCTTAGGGAAAGAACAACAACACTCAGACGCAGGGAATGGGAGGTCCCAAGCTCAGACTGAAGCGCCCTTAAGGGCCCTTATTTCACATCCCACTCGCAGCCCYGTGGCTCTTTCCATTACCCAAACGACCCAAATCCAAAGCATCCTCCTCTGTTGTTTTGCTTTTCAATTCAACTAAGGCCGTAGCACCAGGACTTCAGCACCAAGGTGTGCAAAATGGTGTGCTAGCCTTACAATCAAGAAATAAAAATAATTAGATTCTTAATTAAACCCTTTTGCAAAATCAGAAGCCACTTCAGCTTGGTCAAAATAATGCACAAGAGAATGCTGTATAACAGAAGATATTTAATAAACTAACAATGTGGTTAGTGCTAAGATGCGACAGCAAAATGATTCCTACCTTTTTTAAAAACAACTATAATTATTGGTTTACTATAGGTTCGATTTTATTTCTTTAATTAAGAAACCCATGGATGAAACAAGATTCCAAAATCATTTAGCGATTCAGAAACAGTCAAGGTGGCACTGGAGAAAGAAACAGAATCCTAAYGTTGTGTCCCATTCTAGAGGAGCATAAGGAATTGAGAAGATCCCGAGCGCCCTCCCAACACTCATCCCGGAGGACAAGACCTGTCCCACTCCATGTATTTTTCTCTGGTTCAGACTTAACAAGCACGACTCAACCACTCACTCCAGCTGTACCAAGACACAGAATCACAGGATGGTTGGGGTTGGAAGGGACCTCTAGAGATCATCCAGTCCAACCCCCTGCTCCAGCAGGGACACCCAGAGCACAGGGCGGCATCCAGGCRGGTTTGGGAGATCTCCAGRGAAGGAGACTGCACAACCTCCCTGGGCACACGCTACATTCAAACACAAAACAGGAGGTACTTCCCACCGCCCCGCGTTCCCCACGTCATTAATTTCCGGACCGACACTCAGCACTCCCAGCACCGGGGACGCCTCCACAGCAAACGGCTCTTCCCATAACCCGAGAGACGCSAACGTGCCCGCGGAGCGGAACTGCTGCTACCCCAGGTGCCTCGGAAAGGACGGAGCGCCACTGCCGGCGGGATGACAGGCAACTTGGGGGCCACATATAACCCCCTGGAAGAGCATGTATCTGCTCCTACAAAGGCCCGTGAACTGTACAGGGAGGGCTAACCTTAAACTGCTACCCTCCAGCACTCAGAAACAGGCAGACAGGGGCTCTTCTCAGAAACTGTGCAGAACTGCCAAACCCCGGCCTTCAAACCCTAACTCAGTCCGTCCGTCCRTCCGTCCGTCCTTCGCAGCTGCATTTCTCCCAGCAGAATATTGCCTTGTAATTTAAGTTCTTTTTGTTAAAAACAAATACAGAATGAAAACAAAACAACCTTTTAAGAACTCTGTAAAATATATTTTCTCAATATTCCAGAGAAATGCAAGATATTTCACTTTGTTTCATCCTAGCCTTCTACCCCATCAGGTCCCTGCRGCAGACTCACAAGCATCCACAATCTGCATCATTCTTGGCTGATATTTAGAAACATCTGACGGTTCCACAGAACGTCTGGATGGAAGATAAATAGAACTAAGACTTAACAAATTAATCAAATGTGGACAGGTTGACGAATGAAGAACTTAACAAGGACAGATTCAAGGTAAATGCAGAGTAAAACCTGGACACTGAGCAGAGAGCTGCTGCAATGTGACATTCCTATTACTTAATGCAATTAGACTAGTTCTCCGTAATGACTCTATTAAGTGTCCGTTTACAAGCCAGGCCTTCAAGGAATCAAGAATCAACAGCCCTGTTGATATTCAAGTCCATGCTACCTACGCTTAGAACGTAAAGGGAGAAAGCAAAAGACTGCTCAAACCTCCTAACTTTTCCTATTACCTCATTCTAGCAGTCCATTAAAAGCAGAATATTCTACCCCGTACACAACTGTCTGCCAGACGCCTTTTAATTTGGGTTAATGTGGAGATGAAGGTGTATTGTTTGCTTGTTTGACACGTCACTTGGATATGCAGCGTGGATTTGTGCTTAAAGCAGTTTATAACGTAAAATATTTACCTGTTATTCTGAGTATCAAAATCCTGTAGCGGTTCAGCCCAGGGCAAATATAGAAACATTAAATTAAAATCCTAGGTCCAGCTCTTTGAAATAATTATTTAATTGTATCAAACTATTGAAATAAAAACACCCACACAGTTTTTACCCAAATTGTCCACCACTGTTCATCTTCAAATACCATCTGCAAACGAAGAGCTAGAGGTTGCTGTGTGGAACACCAAGCCCCTGGTAATTCAKCAGGATGCATTTTGATCTCCTGGGAAGACACGGCCAGAGCGCAGCATTTCTGAAGCTGCTGCTAGAAGCAGCTCTAACRGAGCAGAACCTGCGGGGCGGGCAGCGCCGGGGCTCCCAGCCCTGGGAAGCRAGGCCCAGGTCCGGGATGAGGGAGGCCCCAGCACCGTCTGGCCGCGGGGAAGCGACACGAGCGGCAGGTTCCGGCTGCCTTGGGCTGCTCCCGCTCGGGCAGGAGCCTCCGACAGGCGCCTGCCCCCCTGAGCACCCACAAACAGGCAGCACCTCCTTACAGAACTGGCTCTTTGTTCCCTGGATAAGAACACCAAGTGGAAAACACAGCAAGCAAATACGGGAGCCAGCAGAAGTCTCAGATTATAGACTCCTTTCAAGGTAACTAGATCGTCTTTTGTACCAAGGCTTTCAGGCCACGTGTGACTTGGCAGAGGTGCTCTCAGCCTGCAGGAACGAGGCAGGTGCTTGTTTTCTCTCTGCGGATTTTCCTTCCCTTCCTGGGAGTCTTTTCCGTTATGCCCTGAGCCAGGCTTCTGCCGGATCTGTGAGCAGAGATGTGTCCAAGGCCTTCCAAAAGCCTCACCTTCACGCTGGAGGAGGTGCCCGATTCTCAAGCTCTTTACCATAAGCTCACAGACCTCACTGCATGAGGCTCCATGAAGCTTCTCTGTGTTTTCCTGGTGCAGAACAGAGGGATCTCTGGTGAACAGCGTGTCCAGCCCTGGGCCATGCACGTGGGCATGAGGAGAACGAAGCACTGGGAAGGTTGCCCAGAGAGGCTGTGGAATCTCCATGCTTGGAGACTTTGAAGATCTGAGAGGGCAGGACTATAAGTAGCACGGTCTGAACTTGGTGCTAACCCTGCTTCTTTAAGCACAAGGGTGGACTGTGTGAYCTAGCAGCACAGCTTCCAACCTGAGCCAGCCTCCGATCCCCCGAGGTCCCCATAAAACAGGGTACAGCAGCTTCCACCGTGGTGACAGAAGGGTGTCAAAGCAAGAATTGCATGGGATTGGGAGATGAGGTCCAGAGTAACTTGGAGAGACTTGTGTGACTACAACAAATTCCAGTTACTGGCCTTCCTGAATTGCAGTACCTTGCTGCTTGGGCAAGACGCTTCTCACCTGCCCACGAGTGCCTGCCTCCCTGAAGGGCAGCCTCTTCCAAGCCCCGTAAACATCCAGCGTGGCGGGCTCAGGGAGACGCGAATACGAGGCGGTGCCGGAGCGCGCACGAGGCCACGGCCTGCCCCACATATCCCAGCGGCTGCCCCACATATCCCAGCGGCTGCCCCACATATCCCAGCGGCGGCTCCAGCTCCTCATCCTCGGCTCCCCTGCGCCGCCCACGGCTTCGTCCTCGCGTCCCCAAAGCCACAGGGGCGGCTTTGCGGTGGCTCCGCAATGCGAACGCTGCCTTGAAGATCTGCGCTGCTTTCTGCGGCGCCGCGCACAAGCCAGGCTGAAGCATTAGTGAAGAGCTCATAAATGGGAAGGGCTTTTGTGCCAATCCCAGGCTACCCTGCCTTGTCTCAGCAAAGAAATGTGTCACTTGCTGATGTCCGTACCTCTCACTTGGCCACGAACAAAGGAATCACGTGCAAATCCACAGCTCTGCTATTAAAAGGCTCAAGGAGTTTTGAGTCTCTCTGAAAAGTGCTTGTTGGAATGACTGCCCTCCCAGTGGGAAACGCTGACTCTRCTCTCTAGGAAGCAGAGAGGACTTGGGACTTGTGCTCTCCAGTCTGCAGGAAAGGGGGCTTTTCCAAATGCTGCTGCATTTGGAGCTGCTTTGAAACCTGAAAGATTCAAATACTGATACGAGCCACAAAACACTGCCCCGCCTGGGCATCCTGACGGATTTCTTTTTGTCACTGGGCTCATAATTTGGACAGCTGTTTTTCATCATGTTTGTTGAAAAGCATGACTTACAACCTAAGCAACAAGTGTGCTTGTCAGTAAGTGGAATATGCCTTGCTACCAACAGAAAAGGGACCCGTGGGAGGAAAATGGTTCTCTCACTCCTCATTGCTCGCACATTGGGACCATGTGTGTAAATGCAGTGTGTGCAGAAGGACAGACATTCCTAACAACTCCTCATGTGCTGCTTTTTTTTAAGGAAAGCATTTCTACAGAGAAAGCTACATGACCATTTACCTGAAAAGCAATCAACTAAAGTACATTCCAAGGGAAATAATGCAGATCCTATTCAAGCTTCATAATACRGTGCATTTTTGAGATGAATCGCTTGCAGTTCCTCACTCCAAGCAGGCAGCAGGCTGCAACCTGCTGTACCCCTGAATCCCAACACAGAGAGAATCCCAACACACCGGGAATCCCARCTCCGCGAGCACCTTGGCCCCTCATCAACCACCCCGCCAAGCCGGGGAGCCCATGGGAAAGCCGGGGAGCCCCYGGGCTTTACGGAGCGCCAGGGGCGGCAGGACGGCAGCAGGAGCCCTC